GATGTTCCCTCATTTCTCATTCTTTATGCCTCGCACTTCTTGCCTCTTCCTTATCGATTATCGAATGTTTTATTCACACTCGGATGCACATATCCCCCCCCCCCTGCTCCATGCTCCCTGCTCCCACCCATATTCATATTCATATTCGTTCGTGTATTCGTATGCCCGCATATTCATAGGCCGTTGTAGGCCGGTCACTCTGGGAATCGAGTCAGTGGGTCAGGGCAGCAGCAGCAGCAGTAGCAGTGGCTCTCCTGTGCTCTCTCCTCTCACCTCTATTCTCTTCTTTGTCCTCTCTCTTCCAAAAGGAGAGCCCCCCCCCTCCAAAAGGGGGAGGAGGCGGCGGCAGAGAGCCAGAGAGTGAGAGAGAGAAATGCGGCATATCGACCGGTGTTGGTGTCACGCCATGCTGCGGTTGTTAAAAAAAAAAAAATAACAAAATACATCCACTCACACTCTAACACACGCACACACACACACACACACACACACACAGACACACACACACATTATATGCATACCATATGTGCAGCTATGTGTGTGCTTGTGTGCTAGTATTTTATACATATTTATTTTATTATTTGCACTTTTGGTGCTGCGCAAGTGGCAGAGTCGGCCAAAAACAGAATTCCAATTGGGTTGTTTTGTTGCTGGGGTCTCGCTTTTGGCTCAAAAACCCTTTTAAGCCGCCACATGAGCACAAACACACACACACACAAACACACATAGAAATGGAAACATGCACATGCATGTTGCAGTTGCTGCAATTGCAAGTCAAGGTTGCATGTGGAATGATGATGAGCCTGAGGATGAGCCTCAGGATGATGCAGTCCCAGCAGCGAAGTGCATCAAATTGGATTTTTATTCTTCTTCTCTACTTCTCTTCTTTTGTTCTCTTTGTGGCCTTTCTGCCAATACCCTACCCCTGCCAAATGGGGGCATCATGGCTTATCTTTTTTGTTGCGCGTCATGCGGCAGTGCGCCTCGGTCGTTTTTTATATATATTTGTTTTGTTGCATAACTACCTGGGTATTGGCTGTATCTTTTCCTTTTTTTTCCTTGTAGTTATGCGAAAATTTGATCGTAGAACTGGGAGAAAACTTTTTTTTTGTTGCTCCGAAAAATGCCAGAATAATTCTTTATAAATAAAAAGCCACAAAGCTTCTAATTCATTGGCATAATTATTGTTTTTTTACATATATTCCAAGGAGCAGCATGTATTGCAGTAATAGATCCTTTAAGGGTATCCAAAGTTTCCATTAAAATCATTTTTCTGCTGCTCTGCCTCTTGTTCTTTGCTCTGCTTTGTGCCGTGGCCTGGGCCTGGGCAGAGCGGGGGGCGGCAGCACATAATTAAGAACCAGCAGCTGACACTGTAACTGTTATTGTTGTTGTTGCTGCTGCTGCTGCTGCAGTTGCTTTAATAAGCCCGTAAACAGCTTAGGCTTTCGTCCTTCCTCTCTCTCTCTCTGTCTCTCTGTCTCTCTCTGTCTCTCTCTGCCTTGACCAACCTCATCCCCCCCCCCATTGCCCCTTTCGGCATGTGCAGCTTGTGCATGTTCTCTCGTGTCAAGGTCAGCAGTGCCATCGACGACGACGCCGAACAAAACAACTGCCAGCAAAAAGATAATCGTGAATGATGCGATTTGAGTGCAGACATATCGAAGAATATCAGCGACATTCAAACCAAACGGCAATACACCCTTCGAATTGTTGCAACAGCCAAAAGGCGATGAAGCATTGATTTGTCATATGTGCCACACAGCGGTGGCACGGACAGTCCGATGATTTGTTTGTTTGCTGTTACAAAATGTTGAATACTTCTGTCATCTGCCGCGTGCTGCATTCCAATTGCATTGCATTGCTGTGGTTTCGCTCTCCCAGAGCGTTCGACATTCGCATTGCTGTGTGGCATGTGGCATGTGGCATGTGGCATGCACTTGAAATGCAAGATAAACGGACGACCAGAGCTTAAGCACTGGCTAATCGGCTAATGGAGCAGCTGCTTGGGTGGGGGGGCGGGTGGGGGGGCTGGTGTGGGGTGTGGAATTGGCAGCCATAAAAGTAACAAAAAACTTACAATTATTCTCACGAAATGTCTGCTATAATTTGTACTTGATGCCAGCCCTTGTTGCCCCGATTAATCAGACTTCAAGTTTAAGCACTGCTTGGCCAAGCAGTTGACTTATTTAATCAGCGCTTAATTGGCTCAGCAGCTATCTAATGTATCAGGCTTGCTCTTTCCATCACCCCCCCCCAAATGGAAGAGCACTTAACGTTGATCTATCGGGGTGGATGGGGGGCTGTGACTGTGACTGTGTCTGTGTCTGGTGCTGGGGTGCTGGGGCCGCTGATAATCTCGCTTATATGTTTATGTGAAAACACCTACCATCATCCGCACTTGTGCGACGATAATCAAGGATAACAAGCGAGAGCTTTCGAGACGAGTGTGTGCTTTGTGTTGGTGTTGGTGTTTGTGTTTGTGTGTGACTAAAAGTTTAATTTGTAGATTAGCTGTCGTTGTGTCGTCTCTCGGGGGCATGGCACGTATGAGTTTATTTATTGAACTGGGAAAAACTTTTCCACTTGTTCTGCTGCAAACTGTGGTACGGTGGGGGAGGCATCCACGTGGTCATTGATCCCAGAAGTAGGCTATGCCAAAGGAAACTCCTCCAATTAGGGGTAAGACTTCACCCGAGTGCCCTGCCCCCCCCCACGCCACCACTCGAAACGGTTTATGCCTGTGGCTTATGCATTGCATAAATGTCAAGAGGTCGTGGTGAAAAGCCCAAAAGCAATAGAAATAGAACAAGCAGACAGACAAACATTCACTTGTCAATTTGTTTGCCTCTAATAAAGTGGCATGAAGTGGCGCTGTAAAGCCCCTAACCAAATCCACAAATTGACAGCCAGGTATCGTTGCTTCTGGGAATCATTGTCAAGGTTGGGGGCCGGCTATAATTAAACACCCGCCGATAATTGGAAATCAAATGTCTGTCTGTCTGCCGGTCTGTCTTATATACTTACTCGTACTTATGCCATCCGACACACACGAGTCGGATTAGATGAACGGAGGCGTAGGCTAAATTTAAGAGTCTATTTCTGGTTCACACTTGGATATGCTCTCTGCTCGCTGCTCGCTGCTCTTGGACTCGTACTTGCTGCCATATGTTTAGCGTGCGAGTACGAGTGCGAGTATTTTGTTTGAATGTACGACAATGTTTAGGCCATGTTTACAAGTCTTACGGGTATTTTACCACCCCCCTCCGCCCACACCATATCATTTCCCCCCCTCGATAAACTGCAAAGCGTAATGGAATGCGACAAAGTTGCAGGCTGTGCCGCCTGCTGCTGCTGCTCTCTGAGCGGGTGTGGTGAAAAGCTTTCGCTCTCTTAGACTTTGCCTCTCTCTCCTTTATGCTGTGCTCTTTGCGCGCTGTTCGCTTTGCTTGGCTTCGCTTCGTTTCATTTGTTTTGCTTTGTTTTGTTTTGTTTTGCTTTGTTTTTGTTGGCTCTGGGAGGGCCATGGGGCATGAATAACTCTTGAACTTTTTAAAAGAAAACTTTTCAATCAAGATATCGCGGATTCTTCGTTTGTTTTTTTTTTTTCTGGGGAGGGGTGGGGGCTATTGAAAGCAGAGACAACAGATTCCTGGCACTATCTTTCGATGGGAATATACGAGTGTGTGTATTTATCAGGCTTAAAATAAGGAAAAACTCTTTAAATATTCAGCCTTTAACCAGTCCTCAAATTCCCTCAAAAATTAGCTACTTTTAACGACTGGACTTTGCCTTAATGATGCTAGAAAAAAGACAGTTCCATTGTGATTTGTAGTCCAGTTTTAGTAGCATTAAAACAAACAAAACAAAACAAAAACACGTAAAAGAAAAATTCTAAAAAAATTCAGCAAACAAAATCAGCAGCAGCAGCCGCAGCAATGGCCTCCAGTAAAGTCTAACCAAATACAACAAAAAATAAACGGAAACGGAAACCAAACCAGCCTGCCTGCCTGCCTGCCTGCCTGTAGCGAAAAGCTTTAGAGATGTCTATGGCATTGTGCAACCTGAACGGCGACGGCAGCCAGGCTCCGCCACAGCAGCCGCAGCCGTCAGTACAGGCTGCTGCCGCAGCTGCCACAAGCGCCGCAGGAGCTGGAGCTGGAGCCGGAGCCGGAGCCGGACCGGGAGCTGGAGCTGCAACACACACGCAGGAGAGCATACTCGACGCGAGCAATGCCACAACGCCGCTGCTGCTGGGCCACGAGCAGGGGAGCAGCTCTGCGGCAGAGCGAGAGAGCGGCGGCGACGTTGTGGATGGCACTGCAACATCGATACCAATGCCACTGGAAATGGTAGGAGGGGCTGTGGAGCATCATCAGCAGCAGCAGCAGCAGCAGCATCAGTTATCGGTGCCACCGTCGCTGCCGATGCTGAATGGCAGCCATATAATGATGGCATTGCCAGGCGGAAATTTGAATTTTGTAACGGGAACAACTGCGCAGGCGGCCGTGACACAGCAGCAGCAACAGCAGCGAATGATAAGCAGCAACGGCGCAGTTGCGCCTTCGACCAATGACAGCAATAATAACAATAACCCCAATAACAATGTGGACAATACGAGCGACGACTCGAATCCGGTCACAATTTACAGGTAATGTGCGGAACGGGGACAGGGATAGGGATAGGGACAGGGAAAGGCTGCACCCGGGTGATTGGAGCAGGCTCGAAACACTTCCGGTGGGGCAGAAATTTAATATCACATAATAATAATATCCTTAAACTATTGAGAGCACATCAGCATACACACATACATATGTATGTATGTAAATTGCAACAATTCCAAATAGCTGAAGAAAGTCCTTTAAAGTTATTTATGCATTTTCTTTTTCTTTTTTTTTGTTTGTACTAAGAAGCCTATAATATATATCCATAATTCTGAAAGTGTTCAACTTATTATACATATGTATTATTCTGTTATATTGTGATCTGTTCTGTTGCAGGTGCCGGGCTCCAATCGCGTCACTCGACTGTATGGAGGAGTTCAGTGGTACGGGCGGTCATCTTGATTTCGGTATCAAATTTCTCACTATCAAATAGGCTTATCATTTACGTTGTTTCCTTTCCAAGTTATGGATCTTGTTTGAATGTCTTGTCTTTGCCTGCAGAATGCTTTCACATCCGATAATCGTATTTTATTTATTTATTTTTTATTTTTTTCAGTTTTGTACATAATATTACTCAATTATTATTTTTTGTTTGGCAAATTAACTCTCCATTCGAGAAGTGCGAGGAAGAGTGCTTGAGTAATGTACAACAAAACAAAAACAGAAAAAAAAAAACATGTAATTAAAGTTGTAATTTATTTTATTCGAAACGAAACGAAAACCAAAACGAACCGCAAGGCGGTGGGCGTGAGTGAAACACTTTAACACCCACACTCCGCAGTCGCTAATACCAACACTAATACCAGTACATTCCCAATGGCACTGCCGCAAGCCGCATGCCACACCACACCACACGCACGCACAACACGCACCGAAGGCACGCACTCTGCGGCACCAAAGGACAGTCAGGCAGGCTGGCAGGCGGCGGGAAGCAAACCAACAGAAGAATGTCACTTTTGTTTATTCCTGCTCATTGCATGTCGCAGTCCGCTGATATTGTTGTTGCTGTGCACAGAGCCCTATACCCTGCCAGAAACTGAATCATTAGCTCGATTAGTCGATTATTATTATTATTTTTTTTTATATTTATTTTTTTTATTTTTTTTTATTTTTATGAATTTTGTTGAGTGTAAAACTGGAAAACTGAACAAAACTTAAGCATACAATGTATAGAGTAGAATTTGTTAGATTTCAAATGAGGCTCAAGTAATTGAACGTAAAAGTAGAATCAATTAAAAACTAAAACTAAAACCAGATCTATGATTTAATATTTAATATTAAATTTAATATTAATATTTAATGCAAGATTTTTTATTTGGATTAATAGACCACATTGATCTATTATTCTATGTATTTTTGAGACATTTTTTAGAGTTCTCTCAGTGCCCAAAATATGCCTCTAAAAACTAAAATTAATGCTTCGTCTTGATGGCGACTATCTGCAGGGTATTGCGTACTTCGGCATTGTTTAGTTAATCACTGCTTAGCCTGCTTAGACGCTCTTATTCCTATACATAATAATAATTTTTATTTTTTGTGTGTTAATGTTAATGTTTGTGTTGTTGTTGTTGTTGTTGTGGCTGTTGCTGTTGGGTTTTGCACGTATATTTTTTGTTGGTTTTTTTTTTTGGTTGTTATTGTTGTGTGTTTTCTCGGACACACTCGAGCCCCATTGCGAAGGCCTCACTAACAAACCGCTCCCTCTGAAAAAAAAAAAAAAAAAAACCGAAACCATTTCCATGCGGCACGTGAACCGACGCTGACCATGTACCTGGACATTCCGTGGAGCGTAGGCCGCTCGATAAGCCTCGGCTCGAATCCGGCCCTGCCGCTGCGCCATGGCTCGACACCGACGCCGGGGCTGCGCTACAAGAATCTGGGCAAGAGCGGCCTGAGGATCTCCAATGTGGGCCTGGGCACCTGGCCCGTCTTCTCGCCGGGCGTCAGCGATGAGCAGGCGGAGGCCATACTCAAGCTGGCCATCGAGAGTGGCATCAATCTGTTTGACATCTCGGAGGCCCACTCCGAGACGGAGATCGGTAAGATACTGCAGCGTGCGGGCTGGAAGCGTACCGCCTATGTCATCACCACCAAGGTCTACTGGAGCACCAAGTGAGTGAGAGCACCCAGTCGAGAACCCTGAGCACTGAGAACCTCAATTCCATTCTTCAATTTATCCTTCATTCGCCATTGCAGGTCCGAGGAGCGCGGCCTCTCGCGCAAACACATCATCGAGTGCGTGCGGGCCAGCCTGCAGCGCCTGCAGCTGCAGTACATCGACATTGTCATCATCCACAAGGCGGATCCCATGTGCCCCATGGAGGGTGAGTGGAGGGGAGGGTCGAGCGTTGAATTTATTGGCATGCCAAATCAAACGTTGTAATCCCCTTTTCCTCTCGTTTCTCTTGTTGCCCCTCGATTCTCCCACAGAAGTGGTTCGTGCCATGAGCTATGTGATACAGCAGGGTTGGGCAATGTACTGGGGCACGGCACGCTGGAGTCAGGTGGAGATCATGGAGGCCTACACCAACTGCCGGCAGTTCAACTGCATCACACCGATCGTCGAACAGTCCGAATATCACATGTTCTGTCGCGAGAAGTGCGAACTCTATCTGCCCGAGATGTACAACAAAATTGGCGTGGGCCTCATGGCCTGGGGACCCCTATCGATGGCGCTGAGCGACACCCAGAACGGTGACAAGATCTTTCTGCCCAAGGGCTCATTCAAAACGAAGAGCTTCTCATGGACCGAGGACGAGATTAATCGAAATGTGAGTGTTTCTTATCCATTGCCACGTATCCATCGATTTTTACTGATTGCTGATGGGTTTTTCAGGCGGCTCTTTCGCCGCAAGGCAGCTGGGGCAAGGACCGCATCGAGGAGGGGCGACGCCACTGCGATCGATTGCGCGATTTGGCCGCCCTGGCCGAGAAGCTTGGCTGCAGTCCCACGCAGCTTTCGATCGCCTGGTCGCTAAAGCACGAGCCCGTCCAGTGCCTTCTGCTGGGCGCCACCTCAGCCGAGCAGCTTCATCAGTCACTGCAGTCCCTGCAGGTGAGTGAGTGAGAGAGTCCCCTAAAGATTCCTCCCCACTTCTGTTTTAATTTTCAATTTTTTTCGCCCATTTTTAACGCGCATTTTGTAACTATTGTGTTGCCTTTAGCTACTGCCGCGTCTGTCATCGAGCGTAATGCTGGAATTGGAGCGGATATTGGAGAATAAACCGGTAAGGCCGCCAATGATATCGACGCTGGCGCTACGGTGACAATCAGCCTGCCCGCAGGGGCCGCTCAGCCTGAGCGGGGGTGGTCCCTGCGGCGCCGATTCACCCAAGCATGTCGAGGATGAGGCCTTCATTGAGGAGGTGGACGCTGCCAAGGATGCTGCTAAGCAGGGTTTCTGTCTCATTCAGTGACGAAAGGAGTCCTTAGATAATGATAATAAATTTTTGAAAGTGATTAGTAGTAAAACTAGCCTAAGTAGCAATACTATGACGACAACAATAAGCAAGCAAGAACTACAACAGCAGCAGCATCAGCAGCAGCAGCAGCAGCATCAGCAGCAGCAGCATCAGGCCATCACCATCCACAGCAGCTCGATGACAGCCGGTGGAGGATACTCGGTGGTAGCAGCAGGAACAGCAGCAGGAACAGCAGCAGGAACAGCAGCACCATTTGCCTCTCAGTCACAATTTGACACGCTCAACAACAACTACGGCAGCAGCCTCACGAATACCAATACCAATAACATCAACGAGACACCGCCACGTCGCTCCCTGCTCAACTTCAAGTCCCTGGACTTTCACATAAAATCCCTGTACAGTGGCCTGCGCACCGGCAGCACCAGTCCCAGCAGCCATCCGATCAGCGCTCAGGCTGGTGTTCAGCTGCCAGCGGCGGACGGCGTCCAGCGACGAATGCCGTATCTGCGCATCGAGAGTGTCGATCCAGAGGGTGAGCCAGGTGGAGCAGCGGCAGCATGCTCCAGGCGAGAGTCGGTGGCGGGTCAGCGATTGCAGGTCTCGCCCAGCCTCCTCTCCCCATACAGTGGACTGGGTGGAGGAGCTGCAACAGGCGGGGGTGGGGGTGGAACAGGAGCAAGCCTGCTGATGCCCTCACCGGATGGTTCAACCATACGCCGCTCCTCCACCTCCGATATTGTGGCCTGCCGCCGTGGCGGTGGATCCCAGGACAGTCGCCGGCCCAGCACCTCGGATCTGCTGCGGCGGGCCAGGGAGAGGCGGGGCAGCGAGGCGCGCATGGGTCGCAGTGTCTCGCAAGGCGGCCTGACGCGAGGAGGAGGCTCATTTGGCGGTGGACTGGGTGGCAGACGCACCAGCATGGCCTTCTAGAAAAGAGGAGAGGAGAGAAGCGAAGCGAGGCAGGAGATTAAATCAGAAATCGGCTGACTAAATGGCGCTTATGAATTTTTATCTAGAGAAAAACAACAACAACAAAAACAAAACAAAAAATCAGCATATAAGAAACAAATTTTTTTTCCGTCGATCTATCATTATTATTGTTATAAATTATAATTGTTATTGCTCGAATGAAGAGAACTCAAGTTAAAAACTTAAAAATGCGTATATATGTAGATTAATGGATGGCAAACAAAGAAAGCTGAAACAAACATTACATACATCCCTATCAATCAATCAATCTATCAATCAATCTATCAATCTATCTATCTATCTATCTATCCATCTATCCTCCTTTCTGCCAGCACTGTGCTCGGCATCTATCTCTCTCAAATCTATCTTTATATTTCTTAGTTTCACTGCTCTACGGCCCCGCTCATTGCATTGTCCCCTCCCCCCCCAAACTTTTATGACAATATTAGATCCTAACTATCGTAAACTATCGTATGGCAAAGCAAAGCGAAGCTAGGCAAAAGAATTTCCGCTCTCAAGCTCCTCGTCGTGTAACGTTTTGTTTCGGTTATGTTTCGGTTATGTTTAATTTGTGGAGAACAGAAGCAGAAGGAGTAGTATCGATCCCATAATCACCCTATGTGACAGTCATATCAAGCGAAACCCAAAAGCAAACTAAGTGCATAAGAAACAAAACAAAAAACAACAACAAAAGAGTCCTTTTGATTAATCAATTAGTAAGCTAAACGAATCGTTAAAGGATGGACGGATGGACGGATGGTTGGCCTGGCCTCATTGAAGGATTGATAACAATTTTAGCTAAATAAAAATTCAAATAATAATAATAAACAAAACAAAAACAAAACAAAAAACAAATACAACAACTAACACAATGAACAATTCAAATCAAATCTTATTATATAGAAACATTACTAGCATTATGATGTATGTAGTTAAAGGACAGCAAAAACACTCAAGCAAGAAACAATTTTTTTTTTTTAGAAATAAAACAAAAACGAAAACAAAAAAGATTAAACAAATGCCTTTCATAGCAGCAGCAGCAGCAGATGCAACAGAAGTATATATTTTAAATAAATGAAGTATATACTAAATAGATATACACACACAAATACATGCATATGCAAATTGTTATTGATTAAATTGTGGTACCATTGCGTGCATCCCATAAGCCATATATCCCTTTGCCTAGCCCCAAAACCAAACTGCCCCAAAATTATTGCAATATATATATACATACATACATACATACATATATAGAAAAGTATATATACATATGTATATGTATTTGTAGGAGCCTGAATCCCATGTATTTTATCATCATTATCGAGTACATAAAAGTCTTTCTCACATACGGACTGTGATTTCATATAAAAGTAAAAGTAAAACTAAAGAATTAATTAATTATATTAATGAAGAATTCAATAAATTACATATTGTATAACTTAATATGTAAATGTAAAAGCTAAGTTCATTAGAGAAATCTCGCTCGAGTATAAAAAACAAAACATACACACTCACACACACACACCACACAACACAACACAAACTCTCATCAAAGAGGAAAAGCAAAGCAAAGCAAAGCGAAACTAAATAGCAATTTTTCAAATCGAATGGCATTATACTATACTCGAAACTCTACTCTACAATTAATTAATCAAATGCGATTGCCTTAATAATGAATAATATGTGTGTGGAGATTCCAGAACAAAACAAAACAAAAAAAAAAGAACAAAAATGAATGAAAGTAAAGATGCGGATCGGTCGGGGGATGGTTTCCTCAAAACTCAGCTACAGATTTAGACACATATTTCCCATCCGATTGCTTGAAAAATCGCCCCACACCCACACACACACACACACACACATACAGAAGCAATTGGTTGAAAATCCACATCAAAATATTTATATATACTTATGAGAATAATTGCATTTTTTAGTAAGTAGTTAATCCGTCCTGTCCTCGACAAAAAGGCCAGAAAAGAAAAGAAAAGGCGGGCGCTGCTTAACCGACGAAAGTGATGCGCGTTGGACTGCTTAACCGTAAAGCTTAACTCAAAACCCAAAACTGATGAGCTGAATTCAGTCAGACAGGCAGACAGACAACTAGAATTTACTCAACTTTTGTGACGAATTGAATACTTTTTCTAGGATTCCAAGCTGACCCCCGAAAGGGTTAACGGTCAAGTTGTCAAGCGTACACAAGTCGCCAAAAAATGTAGTACAGGGTCAGTCGGTCGTCGGTTGGCAGCGTCACAAGCATCATCAATTGGGGCCATCATCAAGGGCCCCCCCCGGTGACGTGTGAACCAGAAAGCAATAATGAAAAACCGAATGCTGAAATAATGTTCAACCAACGAATTGATGCACATACATACTCGTACATACACACATGCATACAGACAGCCCACACACAGATTTCGGCACATTTTCGAACAATTATGGAAATTATTTTAGACCGTTGTTATCGCAGCTACTATTCAGTCAGGATGATTATTCGAAGGCCCGTAGCTAGTACAACTTAATGAGAGTATCATCCCATTTAAGGGTATGCCTAATTGTATCCACAAACACACGCATAAAGATACATAACAAAAACAAAACAAAAAACAACAAAAACCAAAATGTTATAAGCAAAGGCAAAGAGAAAAATTAATAATAATAATACAAACAAACAAACAAAAAAAAAAACGTAACAGAAAGTATTAAGCGAAAGCGAGACAGCAATACAAATGAGAGAGGGAGATTATACTCCAGTGAATAAATCTAGTCTACAAATTTTACTTTACACCAGAAAATAATATTCTACTTATAAAATAAAAATGCAAACAACTAAAAACAAAAAAGGTGAGCAGATAAAAATGCAACAAGAATGACGCAAAATTTCGAATAGATAACAAAATAAATTAAAAAAAGAATATGATTAAACAATGGAGAGTGCATAAAATATAGAGTAATATAAAAACAAAAATGGAATATAAAAGAAAAAGAAGTAACTTAAAATTATTTTCTTATCGAAACTGGCAATAATAAATATTAATATTAAAAAATAAATAATAATAATTATAATTATAATTATATTGTACACGCTTAAGCCACATGTGGTAAACAGAACTTCATAAGTTACACATCACATAGAGAAAACTAATTTTTGACTAATTATAATTATATATATGAAGAAAAACACATACACACACGCACACACTAAGTAGGCTGAAAGCTGCACTACTGGGCTGAAACCCTGTTTGATTTGGTGCTGTAGAACGAAATGATAGTATCCAATCAAGTGCACTCTTAGTACACACACACACACAGCAGACAGAGAGGGACAGAGGCAATGCTTGCACACACACGCGAACACCAATTGATTTCCAATTAATTCTCACGCAAAGCGTAAAAACACACACACAAAAACAACTAAACGAAGGTGCTCCCACACACCGTTTGAAAATTAACAACAATGTTATTATAGCACACAAACACACACTCACTTAGCCACACACCAGATCAGCTTTACTTTACTTTAGAGTCTTACACTAACTTGCGCGGGGGGTCACGTCACAGCAGGCGGCTTGCTTAGAAACCAACATTAAACGGTTGTGGGGCGGGAGACAGACACAAAACTCGATGCTTGCACTAACACCCAACCAGTAACGCAAATATATACAGTGCTAAAACATATATTAACTGACAAACACTTACCTTAAATGCCACAATAATTTGCTGGGTTACTGGAAAGCCAAACCAAAAACCAAAAACCAAAAAAAAAAAAGGAGAACAGCTAATAAATAATAACAGATGGAAGAACCTCTTAATTATGTATGTTTATAATGCAATAAACATTATATCAAATTGGGGAAAACCAAACATGCATAAACAAGAGCAGATTGTTTACATTTCACTTTTAAAACCACATTTAATACTAATAATTCGAACAGCTAATAATATAAGTTATAACAATAATAAACAACAAGAGGAGAATGGCGGAGAACAGCAACAACACAGCTAAAATACTGAAAAACTTATATAAAAATACAAACTCTTATCTTTCAACCAAATAGAAAATCGTTTTCTTTTCTATTATCGTTCGACCAAGGGTTAAATATTTAAAATGCGCGCCAACATCGGCTTATACCACTTAACCATATAGTACTACATGTGCCAGCTCATACAACGAAAGTGGCGCAGCTGAGTTTTCAGCGTATGTTCCCAGGTCTTCGGCTCTGGGGCCGATCGCGTTCGGCTCTGGTAACTCTGGGAAGCTCATGACGTGACACGAGCCGACTGGCAGCAAGCATGTATGTGTGTACGTGTAACACTCCAAAATATATGATTGTATGCATAGAATAATTTTTAGCTGCCAGTCAGTTTTTGGCATTTCAGATCAGTCAGCTTTTGTCAGCGAGCAATTATAATTTTTTCGTTGAAAATCAGTCAGCTTTTGTGAATGAGCATTTTTACATTTTTCTTAAATCTTAAAATTTTGTTTGACCCCCCAAAGTAACGACTATATACTGTATGGTTAGTGGCCATGCATACCTTGGGAAAATGGATATTATCGAATAGAGGTAATGTTTGTAATCTTAGGCTCCAATGATTGCAGAAACTACTCTGTCTCTGTTTTAGAGATATTAACGAAATTTTGCAGCTTACGGGTACCAATAAAAGGTTGGGTTCGGGATAAAACACATATGAAGGTAAAAAACCTTAGTATGTAATTAATCCATTAAAACGGAGTTCTGAAAACTAGTCAATCTTGTAGAAAATTGATTCATGAATTGGAAAAAATTGCTTTCTTGGGGCTGACAGGTCTAACTAAATAGTAATATTAAACTGAACATCAAAATTGAGGAATATCAACGCATTTAGTCGTGTCTGTCAGTATATTTAAGGTATGTTTTGATAATGGTATATTTCGGTATATTTCTGAGGGCCAGACGGGTATGTTTTTATTAATAAGTAGGCTGTCACACTGCCACTGTCACTTTCCCAGGCTGAATTCCCAAAAATTCCTTTAATTTCTAGTTGTCGTTTGGCTGGTAGCTTGATTTTGCTGCCGCATCGAGTTCATATATTTTGTATTTAGCAATACACGTTCACGTGTATTTTCCGTGGCAGCAAAGTTTTGATTGTTTGGTGGTTGGATGCAAAGTGAAGTGCGTCGTTTGTGTGTTGTTCTCGCTGGACTGGCCCTCATTTTCACAGGATTTTTAAGCCCGACCTCGCCGAAGCAAGCAACTAATACGCATTTCTTCGTACGAAGCTCGTGCAATGGAGGAGGCTAAGGGTTTGAAGAACCCAAGCGATCCCGTGATGGATTGTGAGTAACTTTTCATTCATGCCGCGACTTCAAACTAAATCACATTCCAACACACACACATACACACACACACACACATACATGTGCCTGCCTTGCGACGCTCGCGGGAGAGTAGCATCGGATCTGGTTTCCATGGAGACCGAAACGCCGATGGAGGAGCTCAAAAACGATGAGGAAGTAGGCGAGACCCTTGTGTCATGTGAGTACCTTTTTCATTCATTTCATTCATCCTGTCCCCACAGCACAATAAACTAATCATATATATTTTATACATATCTGCCTGCCTCGTTTGCCACACAGCTTCAGTGAACGGTTTGATGGATACAACGCGCGTAGAGGAGCCCAAAGCCGAAGACGAGGCTCCGGGAGCACGTGAGTACCTCATACCTTCACATCGCGACTTGAAATTTAACCAAATGCTTTCGGGCGAGCAGTTTTAAATCATTTGCTGGACATAACGTCCATGGAGGAGTTCAAGGCCGACGAGGAGCCAGGCGTAGTAGCCCCGGTGGCATGTGAGTATCCATCATGGATATGCCCTCACAATAAACTAAACATACAATTTTCATTCACATGTTCCTGCTTCGCTTGCGGGGCAGCTATACCGAACGGTTTGATGGCAGAGCCCAATGTTGAGCAGCAACTAGACGACTCCGCACTGGAACGTAAGTACTGAGTACTTTTTTATGCAGGCCATCACACTAAACTAAACATAATTTCCATTCCTAAATGCTGCTTCTTGCGGGAGTTCAGCACCAGATAATTTGATGCACACATCGCCCATGAAGAAGCCAAAGTTAGACGCACGTGAGTAGCTTCTTAATTATGGCGCCACCAATGTACACTAAACTGCATAAATTCCCATGCAAACATGTGCCTGCTGCAGCATCAGCAGAAGAGGTTGCCGCCGCGACACGCATCACGGACATTGAAAAGCTGCGGCGCTTCTGCTACATCGGCACCCCAAGTATGACCGTTTATTTGGTGTCGACGATGGAAAAGTTGACTAAGGAAAAGTACGAAGAACTGCGCCTCCTCTGTGACACGGTGGGTGCACAGCAGCTGGCCGACTGCCTGGTCGATGTTCTAATAAACAACGACGATTACTTGCCACGGCGCGATGAGGCGATGTTGGTGGTGGCCGTTTACCTGTCGACGTGTACCAATCAGCTGGAGAGGGCGTTATTTCGCAAATATTTCCCTCGGCTGGTGCGTACCGACACGGAACTGTTCATATTCACGGGGCTCGTGAAGCTGGTGCAGGATTTGCGAGGGCGCAAAACCCCATTAAGTCGCACCATCCGCAAGGCCGTCATTGAGTGGTACACCGACAAGTCGGCGGCTGTGCTGCTGCAAATGTGGTCAAAGGGCGAGCAAATCTGTGCCTCGCACAAGAATCTGCTGCGTATCTGCCACTATCGGGATGTGGAACTGATTCCCGAAATTAAGGCCACCCTGGAGCTGTTTTGCACCCCCACCAGGCTGCTGGGAAGCTGGCCGGAATTCCTTAATCCCCTTATCGGAAGTAGGAAAAAAATTGAGGGCATTGTTAAGCTTCGTAAGGCCATAAGTGCCCTGGAGGCACTGCCGATACTGAAAGAGCTTTCGTTGACGTATGAACAAGCGCCCGAGAATTTTCGTGCCGATCCCGTGCTCGCCGAATACCTGATCCCGACGATCAGCTACGAGCAGCTGCTAAAGACATCACCGCGAGTGTTGCGCCTATGCAAGCGTACGCAGAGGGCCTCGTACAACAAATATGAGGAATTGTTGCTCGACAAAACGAACATGGAGGCGGCCAACATAAACCCGCTGCGCATCCTGCTGGAAACGATGCGTTTGAATAAGAACAACCGAGAGGTAAGTCTCATGCATTTCCATTCATCTCTCTGACGGTTAACCTCCCTCTCTCTTTCGGTCTCTCTCCATTAGATGATCGCGGTCAAGCGGAATAGGCCAAACTTTTTGTTTAATGTCTATGCGTCGTCATTTGGACACAACAAGGCCTTGGGCAAGCGGCTGCACATTACTCTAAGTCTAGAAAAATTTTACCTAGGCAGTGAGTTCCTCAATTGAATGCTTATGACATTTTATAGCTAACAAAAAACCTCATTGTAGAGTGCCTCAATGGCCGTTATCGGTCTATTAATTATCTGGACGCGCTTGTGGGTGTCGCTTTCGGATATTACAAGACCGACTCTGATGGCAGTAAAGTGAACTACTGGTCCGATCGCACTGGCAAGCTCAAGACTCTGCCCTGGACTAATGCGATGACGGTGGTGGAGGCAACGGAATGTTGCAAAACTCAAGGGGTAATTTCTGTCCAGTGCCCATGCCCAAGCCATAGGCTGAACAATAAATCTATTACAGGTACAGAAAACTAAACAGGTGCTAACCCAAATATTAAATGAGGCCATGGAGGATACAAAAACGTATGATGTATTCTTAATTGTGGTACCGGCCGCCACACGAGGTAACCCCTTCAACAGCTCAAATACCTTATCCAACCTCCTGAAATTGTATCGCGAGGAGCGAAAGTGTAACGCCAAGTGAGTCAATGTGTGCACTTCTAAGCGAGCGATTTACTCACTCGAGACCTCTTTGTTTTTTTTTTTCAGATTAATTATTGTCAGCTTGCGGCAGAATCAGCCTTCGATGGACTATTGCACTGTGCACAAACAGAATATACTCGAGTTGTGCGGCGTGAGCGAGCATACGGCTAGAATCATAAACGCTTTCGTCGGCGACAAGTTTCACTAGGAGCGAGAGGTGTGGCCACAGGAGAGAGAGAGAGAGCGAGCTAACGAGCACTAGGGACGAATGCTCCATCTCTTTCGCTTTCATGACGCTAGGGTGACAGTCACCCCGCCCCACTCATATAATAATAGTATTAGTTATAATGTTAGTCCACACACCCGCATACACACATAACAGCACCCAACACACACACACACACTCAGACACACACACACACACACAAGCGGCTTAAGTTCTGTTGTAACGCTCGTATTGAGTACTCGATTTTGATTTTGAGATTTGAGGCCTCCCATTTGAACTGTATCAGATTAATTGCTGCTAGTGCTTCAGGCAAATGATTTAATTTTTAGAAATCAAACTGAATCCACAGAACTGAACTCGAATCTAAATTCAATTTGGATTTAAAACAATCCCAAAGCATCTGAGCGGAACGAAGTTAGAACAAAACACACCAAAACGTAAACGTAAAACCAGAAAAAAAAACTAAAACTAAAAACTAAAAAAAAAAAAGAAAACAAAACTGAAACTGAAACTGAAACCGAAACCGAAACAACAAATTGCCTTACAAACAAAAAATGTTAGTTAAACTTTCATTTTAAGTTGAGACTTTCAAAATACGAATACGGGCAGCGAAACGTACTGAAACACAAATTATGGCATTTAGATAATGTTAAAACAAGTTAAACTAATCATTATCATATAAACATAAACATAAACATATGTAAACCTAAAAATAGACTTAGCTTAAAATAGTCCAAGTCAAGCAATATATATCAGTTGCATAATAAGTACATATATATATGTATAGTCGAAACGCGTACAAGGCAAGAAGAGACTCCCAAATGTGCCATACACACACACACACACACACACACAAAACACACACATACACAGAAATCAGTATAGATATCGAGATACCGAGATAGCCCCTCCCCATAGCTCTGAGAACAATAAAAAGAGGAAACGCCGCAACCAATTCGACTAAAGAAATTAGCTAAGCGAAATTATACTTAAATTAAAATTAAATTACATTTACTGGTATACAGAGCATAGAAACCAATTTGGATGATAAGAAATTTAAACTAACAAGAAACGGAAAATAATGAAGAGAAGACAAAACAAAACAAAAAAAAAATAGGAAATATTTTCACGGACATTTCTAACCAAAATGTTTCCACACGCATCTGTGAAGTAAACCGTTGTGATCGCCTTAATTTTTGCTTTACACGAAAACAAAATGTAACGAAACAAAACAAAAATTGTAACACAAACAAAACTACAAAACATTCAGAACTAGAACGAAAACGAAAACAAATAAAAAGCAAGAGGATATATATTAGTTATTCTGTATTGTTTGTGAACTCGACAAAAAAAATATATGGAAACACCAGTAGAATGGAGCGTAACGTAACCGAAAAGTACCTTTACAACAAACAAAACAAAACAACAAACTGCAACTGAAACTAAGAAAAAATAAAAAAAACAATGCAAACAAATTGATGAATTACACCAAAATGGCACACAAATCAAGCAACAGCTAACACATTCAATTCAATTAACCCGCGCTGCCTGGCTCTCAAGCACACGAATTAGATAGATGAAACTATAGAAGATCCAAACACACACACACACACACACACATAGATATTACATCATTTGAAATGAAACTGAATACTGATTCCAAATGTTATTTTTTGTATTATTTTTTGGGAAATTATTTTACTAAGAAACTTAGCTGTAAGCAACATTTGTAAACTCTTACAAAGAGAACTCATCTACCGCACCCCAAAGAGAAATTATTTCTATGATTTGCTGTGTGATTTGTCCAAGTTCTAAACTACTTTAAATGGGGAACACATTATAGCACGATGAATCAGATATCAGATAAATGAGGAATATAATTATTTTTTTTTGTGAAAATAAGATAAAAGTTTTTGTTATATGGTTCCTACAGTACATGACGAATTTAAAATCTCATATGCGGCATATCGTCGGCTAACACAGGTGGTTGTCCGAATCGGTAAACCAGAACAACCGCATTCCAAATTAATTTAAATTAATTCGTTTGTTTTGTATTATTTTATAAATATTATTTTTATATTATAATTTACTTAAGCTCCGAAGCCAAATTTACTTTTGTATTATACTACAAATAAATACCCTTTGCTACCCCATAAAATATTTGTTGAGTGTATCAGCTCTTAGCTCCACACAAAATCCCATTGACAGAAAAGTTGAACCGTTGAAAAGAGGATTTAATATAATAAATAAACAAACAAAAAAATACTAAATGCCATGGAACATAATACAGTTGGTGGAAAATTTAAATATTTAAAACGAAAACAAGCGAAATTATTGTTGTTGATCAAATCAATTGAAAAACTGAAACTGAAACTAAAACTAAAAGGGAAGAAAACTGAAACTGAACTCGAATTGAATTGAAACGAATTGAATCCGTAGTAACAGCAACAAGAAGCAAAAAATCATGTGATATCTATTTCAAAAATAAATCAATTGACAAAAAAAAACTAAGCAAAACTAAAGAATGAAAAAAAACCCCTATCCATAAACAAAGCAAGATATAGTAAAAATTAGAAAAAAAAAAAGCAGAGAGCAAGCAAATGTTTAGAACGCATCTCCACGAGAGAAATGGTTCAAGAGGTTTATCATTTCTATTGAAGAGTTTACTTAAGAACCCGAATACGAACCCTAAGCCCTAAGCCGAACCTAAGCCCCAATTGTTAAGTTAGGCATATTCCATTGAGTGTTTGGTTAGCACACAACCACCAGAAAAACAATGGGAAACTGATAATCCCCCAACCGATAGCAATACTTGGCTCGATTCTCCCTATATCTCTATATCTCTTTCTCTATCTCTCTATGCATCTAGTACGGATATTAATCGAAATTGTATTGGATTGTAAGCGAATTCTGGACGTGTTCAACTCCTTGCTATTCCAGAACGTTTTTTATAAGCATATACATATACATACTTCTTATACACTAATCTAGGCTAAAGTTGAATAAATTCTGAATTCTGAATGAATCAAACTGGCAATTTAATTTCGACATCTGCTTCTGCGTCTGTTTCTGGCTCTTCTTATCCTTCTATTTGTTCTCCGTAACGATGCCCGCCGGACCGCATATGTAGAGCTGTTTCTCGTCACGATCCCGGAGGGGTGTGAAGCCGAGATTGTCGGATGGCACACCGAACTGCTTGAGCTTGCACTCGTACGTCTCCAGGAGATCGTCATGGGCCTTGCGGGCCTTGGCCACCTCGTAGCGCAGATCGATAATGATCTTGTTCTTCTCGTCGACAATGTTGCCCACCCGCTCGTCCAGGCTGGTCAGTTTTTCGGCGAAATTGGGCGCACAGGTGGCTATGGTCTCGTGCAGCACAATGCTGCGCTTCTCGTCCTCGCGCATCAGGGCCGCAATCTTGCGCTCCAGCAGCACATTCTTCAGGCCCGTCTTCTGCTGTAGCTCCACAATGACGTCGTTGAAGCGCTCCTTGAGTCCCTCCCGCTCGGCCACGAGCGAATCGTTGCGCAGTATCAGGGTCTCCGCCTCCCAGGTCAGGCCCTTCACCTTCTTCTCCAGCTTGGTGTTGCGGCTCTTGAGGCGGCTCAGCTGCTGCTTGTCCCGATCGTAGAACTCCAGCTTGCGGCGGTACTCGTTCAGCTGGATGTTGGCCTGCTCGAGGGGCTCTCGGAGGCGCTTGTTCTCCAGGGCCGTGTCCGCGGCGATGCGATCGCTGCGCTCGGTCTGCTTGCGCAGCTGCTCCAGCTGCTCCTTCATGCTGCCGATGAGGGCCAGATTGTTGAGGGTGATGTCGTTGTAGTAGTTCTTCATGTCGTTGAAGGCACCGTCGTGGTGGTCCTGCAGGTCCTTGATCTGCTGGTTCTTGCGCTCCTCCACTTCGAACATCTGGGTGCCGTAGAACAGATCCAGCTTCGACTTCTGCTCCATCATCTTCTCCTCGTGCAGCATCTCGTTGTCCTTGCGCTCCCGCTCGAAGGTTAGCCGCTGGTCCCTGGAAGAGCGAGAGAGAGAGGGCGTAATGAGTGCTGGATCAAGGTGCTGGGCAGGAGCGCACCCACAGCAGCTTCTCGTTGAAGTGGGACTCCATCTGGCGCAGCTGCATCTCGCCAACCTCCATGCGCTCGCGCAGGATGCGACGCAGCTGGCGCTTATCCTTCTGCAGCTCGGTCTCCTGCAGGACATGGTGCTCCTGGGCCAGCTTCAGCTGGGTCATCGCCTCCGCCCGCACCTCGCCCAGCTTGTTGTGGTTCTCGAACTGCAGATGCTTCATCTGCTGCATCACATGCTTGGTGTCGATGTCCGCCAGATCCTGCGTCGCCTCAATCTCCTTGTCCTTCTGCTGCAGCTCATAGCGGGTCTCATCTGGATATTGATTATGGATAGATATGACCGGGTAGAGGGGTGGAACATCGAATATCAGACTCACCCAGCTGCTGTCGTGTGATCTCCCAGAAGGTGCGAATCTTGTCCCTCTCCAGCTGGAAGTAGTTTCGCTCCTCCCGCTCGCGATCCATCTCGGCCTTGAGGCGCAGCGCAAACGCCTCCAGCTGGTCGCGCGTCATCGCCGAGGTGTCCACGCCATCGATGAGCACTGCGGTTTGGCCAGAGGAATGAATGTTAGTGGAAGTTGGCTGTACCGCATATTTTGGGTTGGCCCATCTTTATGACAATTTAATGAGAATGGCACGCGCTGCCCCATCCAAGGACCCTGTGCCTGCCCGCATATGTGGCCTGGACCCGGACCCGGCTACCCGGCTACCCGTGCAGACTGTGTTGTAATTGTTTTCTGTAATTGGCATCGTTGGCCGGCTGGTGCCAGGGCTCGCACTCGTACTAGGAGCAGAAACAGGACTAGGAACAGGCACAGGCACAGGAATAGGAATAGGACTAGCACTGGGGAAGCCAGGCATAGAAACAATTATGTGCGTTAGATGTCCAACGGAGAGGCGACGGCGGACGGTGAAGGCGGAGTGCACTGCGTGTGCTCTCACTCGTGGAAATTAAGTGGACAGTTTTTCCCTTTGGATTTTTTGTTTTGGTTTGTTTGGTTGCACTGCGTGCTGGTTCGGGTCCATAGCCCTGGTCCTATGCTTGGGCAATTACACTGTGCATCGGACATGTTCAGCTTCTGCTTCTGCTCCTGCTTCTGCTTTTGCTCCTGCTCTCTCGCCTCTCCTCACGCAGATTATCGTTATTTACTAATTGTTTTGCTTGGCCTTTTTAAATTGCCCTGAATGACCAATGTCCATCCATCGCCCATCGCCCATCCCATACCGCCCAGCCGCCCTGCCCTGCCGCCTCGCTCTGTACCCGTACCCATTTCCGTCCTGCAGCACCCTGTACAGCCATTAATGTTCCGAAAATGAATTGCCAGGCAGACCTCGTTGCCTCAACTGCTGCCTGCCTGCCTGCCTGCCTGTTGGAGCCTGTCTCTCCCTCTTTATGGAAGCTGTCTTTATGGGCGGGGTCTTAAAGAGCTTTTGAGTGGAAATATTTGAAGAGCTCGAAACTATTGGGTTGGAAAGCAGTTTTCTATCTATCGAAGATCTATTATGTTCTTCTAATGCCACACAGGGATGTTGTACAGTGTGTACATAGATAGTTAATAAAAGTGAAGACAAATTATATATGTATGTATGTCATTCTTTTGTCAAATAATTATAGAATTACTTACCCGGCATCTTCTTGCCCTTCTTGCCCTTTTTCCCCTTTGGAGGCTGTAATAAAGAAAAAAAAATACCTTATAATCAATGCAAAATCATGGAATAAATAAATATGGTAAATATTCACTGAAAAATAGAAGGAAAAATAATAATTAAGAGAAATCACCAGGAAGATTCTGCTGCTTGCTGAACTGCTTGCCACGAGCATGCACTCGCTACGATCTTCGACTGCTTTCTGCACTGCTTTGCCAAAGCTCAGATGAGAATCATTTTGAACCACAAAGGAGCTGAGCTCGACTTCAACTCAGGGGTTTCTTGGATTTATATCTGCCACTGTACTCCACATTTGTCTATGCAAATGCCATTGGGGTGCCGGTGCCGTGCTGGTGCTGCACAATTGTCGTCTGGTGCTGCACTGTCTGCTGTGCTCTTCCGTGTGGCAACTATTTTTCGCACTTTAAATCCTTTAACAACATTTAATTCGATTCTCTCTCTCTCTCTCTCTCGCTCTCCACTAGAGAAATTCTCTGCCACTGCCCCCGCTCTGATGCCGACTCCACTCCACTCTGTCTCTGTCTCTGGCAAGGCAAAGGCGATACCATACCGAACGCGACTGTAGAGAGTGGCGGCGGGCGGCGTCGCTTTAAATAATGTGATGGCGCGGCTTTCAAAACAATTTTGCAACAGCTGTTGGCTGTTGGCTTATTGCATATTTTATGGCTGCAAATTATTCAAAAATTTTCGAAGCCGCCTGCGCTGCGACCGCGCTGATGTCCACCATTTTCTGTCCCTACTATATCCTCCTGTTGGTCCTCCTCCTGCATGTCGTTGGCCCAAAGGCGTAAAGTATATGTATTTAAATACACAAATACATGTAAAGCGGGCTATATGTATATATGTATAAACAAATGATCGAAAATAGACAACAAACGAGTGCAAGCTGGTGGGGCCTCCCCCATGCCTGAGCTGAGATTCAACTGAGACGCAACGGCGCGGCGGCTGGGGCCGGCTCGGCGGACTGTGGGCTGTAATAAATATACACCCACAAATACATACATATACAGCATGCATTTTGTATGTGTCTGCGTCTGCAGCAACAGCCTGGCGTGGCATGAAAAATTGAATGCGCTGCAGTGGCAGCAGCAGCAGCCAAACTGAAACTGAAAGGAGCCCCATCGTCGATGGCCTTATCACAGACGCCATAATATAATGGCGCAGCACAGGCACAAGTAGTGGGAGTGGTAGATAAAAAATAGCTGCACTGCTTGCTCTTGCACAAAAAGCACAGCTGATGAAGCTGTTTGACCGCTGCTTGCTTGCTGATTTGCTTGTGTTGATATTTTTGTTGATCCTTTTGTTGGTAATTAGAACGAAGAGAGAGACAGAGATACGAAGGTATCAGCTGCACTGATGTTTCAATTTCCGAGTACTTATTGCATTTGTTGTCTAAATGGAATAATAGCCAGCCTGCTGCTGTTGTTTCTACTTTTTTTTTTGGTCGAACTGCTTTCTTGACTGAATGCGAAATTCCAAACATTTGCCTGCTAAAACACTTACCATTTTGCTGCTTGTTCTGCTTCTGCTTGTTCACCTGAGACGTCTACGTCGACTGGGCCAGTTCTGTTCCGCTGTCCACTGCAACTGTCCGCAGCGCTCTCCAAAATAACGAAATCGTATCGATAAAACGGTTGCCCAGCGCGTGCTTCCTAGGCGGGGAGGGGTGTGTGTGGTGTGTTGTTCTGCTGCCAGGCAACCAGCAAAGAAAGAACAATGTGCGTAAGTTAGATGAAGTTGCTTATGAATTATTTGGAGTTGGTTTTCGAAACCAATTATATTTATTATATTAGTTTTTACAGTACTCACTTGGCCTGCTGTGTTTTGTTGTTGTTATATGATTGGGTTGATTTGAAGATCCTCTGATAATGGTGGCTTTCGAGATACATGGGTGCAGATCATAGAACTAACTTTATAAGTTTCTGTAAAAGCTAGACAGTGGACTAGGGTATCATTGGGGGTATCAGGGTAAATTCTAAACTCTTATCCCAAAACGAAGATATCGGAGATATTCCCAAATACCGGAGTACCCAAAATTAGGGTACCACGCAGAAAGCCTTCATTGCTTTTTCTCCATCACACTTCACTGTGACAGGCACTGAAAATAGAAATTGAAATAGCAAACAACGAGTGGTGACCCCGACAATCCATTGGCCTCCCCACAGCACTCTGTATGCGATGCCAGTCTGCAGCGACCCCAACTCTGATGCGGCTCCGGAGCCCAGTTCCAGAACAGACCAGGCCCAGACCAGGCCCAGACCAGGCCCAGACCAGGCCCAGACCAGGCCCAGGCCAGACCAGACTCTCTTATCGCTGCCGTCGTATTCCGGAGTCAGTTGCCGTCTGCAGCTTAAACAAGCTGCTTCCCAGGAAGGAGGGTCTCGCGGGTCTCTCCATGTGAATTTGTTTGTTTGTTCATTTTGCGGACTTTAAATGCGCTCCGGCAGTGCAGTCTGCCGTTGACTGGTTAATTTGATGATTTTTTGAAATAAGATATTATCAGGAAACTGAAAATCTCAGCTCCCACTTCTCCCACCGTCAAAGCGGCGAATGGCATTGACAATTCGACTCTTCAACATTTTCGTCAAACGATCCCGACTCTGTGGCACCTTTTGAGCACCTATTTTACGGTTAAATTTCACTCCTAAAATTTTCCCCGCCTAATTATTGTGTAAGGCCAAAGGCAGAGATTCGAGGCAGGGCCTGGTGGAAGGGGGGGGGGGGGCTGTGTAAACAGAAGCCCAAAAGTGTGGAGTGTACGGGTGTGGGGTGTTGGCATATTGCTGATTTTCTGGGCCTCCCTGGTTAAATGCTTTAATTGAAATTAATAACCGCAGTCAGCAGTTGAGCAGTTGAGCAGTCAGGCCAGTGGAGGCCTCCAGTCCCCCAGAGCCAGAGTCAGTTTTCGGCTGCTGTAGAACCCCGTGGCTTCGGCTTCAGACACCGAGAATTTTCAATTGTTTTCATTAAAAGTCAATTCTTGATAGCGAAGACGCTTCAGCGGCTAACTTCAACCCTTTCCGTGTGTCCCTTTGCTACGTTTTCAGTCCCTGTTTTGAGCCGCCCTCGCATAATTTCTGTTTCATTTTGATTCTGGCCAACGGCTGCGGTCGGTCATGCCCCATTGAGCTCCGTAACGGCTGTCAAGGGTCGCGGAAAGCAGCGAGATGGCGTGGCAGAGGCTGGGGCAGGGGCAGAGGCAGTAGGGTTGTGTTTGGGAAGGTGGCAAGGAGGCCGCCACACTGATTGAAACTGAAAGTATTTAAAATATGATTAGAAAATTTGCTTATCGAGTTGCGAGGTGTCTCTCTTTTCCATGAATGTACTCTTTAAAGGGGAATTTTCTTTGCTTGCAGTTCGATTTTTATTCTTGTTCTATGGGCATCAAATAACCGTTTACTTCTGCTTATCCCACTATTAGTTTTCCTTTCGCTTTCCTCTTGGAATTATTTAGTTTTCTTTGCTGCTTCATTCCACCCATCCCTATTCCAATGCACTTGCTCTGTGCTAGAAGGAGGCAAAAATAAGAGTTGACAAGTGGGGAAAGTGGCTTAGTGGTTAGCGGGAAAAGGCACTGGCTGACAGGCGCGGGGTTGCAGTGACGTTTTTCCCCGAGTATTATTACGTAATTTGCGATAAATGTCATGCAGCATCCTCCTTCTATTCGCACACATAGGTCTCTGTGTGCAGTAGTTTCTGAATGGAGCAGGGATATCTATGTAGGTAGAGAGTGGAATGTGCGGCGGGGAGTGGCAGTGGGAGTGGCAGTGAGAGTGGGGCCGGTGCAGCTCAGTGCTCATTGCGGTGGCAAAAGTTATTTGCTGTGTTATTTTCACAACAACTTCCGCTTTGGCGCAGAAACGGATATCCGGCCTCTGAGTGAGAGATGCAGAAGGAGACGGAGATGCAGCCACAGATGAAGGAGGGCAGGCTGTGGGGGAGAGAGAGAGAGAGAGAGCGAGTTTTGGGATATTTGCTGTTGGTGCAGCTGCTTGGACTTGTTGTCTTGTCTGTTGTATGCCCACCAAAAACAGAGAGCAGCCCCAGCCTCGGTTCCAGCCCCTTTCCATTCCTTTGCCATATGCAGATTTTGCTTTTACAACTCTCGATCCAAACTTTGACTTGTGCAGAGTATATGTACCTACCACTCGCCCACCCACCCGCCCTCCACCAGTAGTCCACGCAATTTAAACTTTCTGATTAATTTTAATAAATATATTTTTGTCCTTTATTTGTAGAATTTGTTTCGTTTACCATATATACTCGTATATATATATGTATATATAATTTTTTATATATATAATTTCCTTTGTGGTTGGTTGTATGTATATATTTCGTGTTTCGTTATTACATTACATATATATATATAGATATATATATATATATATATATATACATACATATATGTATATATGTGTATATATGTATATAAGTTATACTTTATACGATTTATGCTGCTATATATACTCGTAGATATATGTGCATACATACCTACATGCATACATACTATATGTATGTATGTATGTATGTGTACATATGTATGTATGTATGCACAAAGAGCAGCTCTGCTCTTTTCTTTATTTTTTGGGGTTTTTTTTTTTTTTTTTGGGATTATCGAGAACTTTGATTAAGCTTCAGTTTTGGGTTGGGTTCAACTTTTTTTTCTTTAGCAGATTTATGGTCTGCATACATTTTGTTTGTTGTTTATGGTTTATCCATTATTTTGATCGATAAATGCATCGATATTGTATCGATGATCAAATACTTTAACTATAAATGAAATAGTCGCTCCACTTTGGCTATATACAATTTTGAGTTATTCTTTGACTGCCTGCAAATGGTTTCCAATAATGAACTCTTTTTCTTATATACAATTCTTACGCTAAAGACAAACTGGTACAAAGCAACCAAAGGAAAAGCGTAACCAAAAGTACATCCGTACAACCGTAAATCCGTACATCCTTACATACACTTGGTTTAGATATTATGTATAATCCTATATAGATTTAATCTTCAACAAAACTATATATACAGAATGTCACACAAAACAAAACAAAACAAATACTCTGCTCTGCTCTGCCCTGGAATGCTTAAAGTATATTTCATTTTCTATACGAATTTACTATAACTTTATTTTTGTGTGTCTGTTTCTTGTTTTTTCTTATATTTTTGTTGTTGTATTGACTGATATTTTATTCAGCTTTAGGTCTGCTAATAATGGCACATAATTATTATTGTTGATTTTTTTTTTTTTTTTATTTCGATTGTTTTTTTTTTTTTTTGATATAAGTACCAGTACCATATACATAGAGACACTGAGATTGATTAGAGACGTATGTATGTACGAGTATGTATGAGTATGTACGAGTATGTGTTGGTTTGGGTTGGGTTGGCTTTGGGTTGGCTTTGTGGGTTTATTCATTATACATACAACTAGCAAGCGTTCGCTTAGCATATGAACAACCTTCAATGGATTCAATTATTATTTATATATGCATATATTGTGTATATATTGTTGTTAATTGTCTCATCAGTTTTTTACAAATGTTCTTGCCAGTTATGTTATTTCTCCACTGGATTACGAGTATTACGCTTTATACAGGAACACAAACAGAAACAAAACACTTTATGTATGCATTTATCCGTGTATATATGTATGTATGTATGTATATTATTATGTACGGGTATGTATGTATATGGGGGGGCCTTGTAGATATTTTGTTGGATGTTTGGTTTGGTTGCTTGTTTGTGGCTAGATTTGATTTTATTGTTATTATATAATTGCAGCACACACACACACACACACAGAGAGGAGAGAGAGAGAGAGAGAGAGCAGCTCTTAATTAAAATTGCAACAAATGAACAATGAGACAGTGTCAAAGGCTGCCCCAGCTACCCCCCCACACCCACACCTAAACCGAGACAACTGTTGCACAATGGCATCCGAAGCACAAGCACAAGCACAAGCTCAAGCTCGAGATGAATCCAAATAAAATTTCAATTAAATCAATTCAAGCATGTGGCAAGGCATGTAGCCAGCTATCCAGCTATCCAGCTGCACAGAGAAGAAAGCTGCCACCCTTCAGGGGTCGTATTGGGGGTCGAGTGTCGAGACTCGGTCCAGTGTCAAGTGTCCTTCGGCCGGGCTGCATTCTCAAGTGCCACACAGTGGACACATGCAACAACCTGAAGCAGCTGTAATTGAATTTCGGGTTTGCTGATTCTGATTCTGATTCTGCTCAGTTCTGCTGCTGCTGCTGCTGCTGCTGCTGCTGCTGCTGCTGCTCTGCATTGCTGTAGTGGCTTGTTATCTTGTATTTGTTTAATTTTATTTTGCTGGCAGTCATCCACTGATGGAAAGATTACTGCTGCAAGCCAAAGCAGCAGCCAGCTCGGAGGCGGCTGGCTGTTGAGCAGCTGTTGCTTGTCAGCCATTGAGACGTTACAAAGCGAAGCCATTTACATGGATGCACACACACAGAAACACACACAAACACACAAGCGCATACATGCACAGACACAGACACACACTCATTTCATTATTAAATCAAAAAAGTTGAGTAAATTTCTGCCAGCGGCTGTCTCTACCCCTCTACCACTCTACCACTCTCTCTCTCTCTCTGTCTCTCTGTCTCTCTGTCTCTCTGTCTGTCTGTCTGTCTGTCTGTCTGTCTCTCTGTCTATCTGTGTGTGTGTGTAACAATTCAACTTGATTGCCATTTGTTTTTAGCGAGCTGCTGTGTCCTGTCCCCGCTGCCACCAATGCCCCTGCCACACTCCCTCGAACAGCACTACATGCGGCAAATGTTTTGCGGCCAACACACGCACACAAGTACATGCAACATCCCCCCCCCCCCCCACACCACCACCCCGCTCAAGAGCAGTAAGCGGTGTATTCAATTAAACTTCCGTCAAACATGAAGCATCCTCTGCCATGCCCCCCACCACCAGCTCCATCCACACCCGCACCCACCCACACCCACCGTTCCAGGGCTGCCTTGAGGTTATAAAATAAACATGTTGCCACACACAAAATTTAAATAGATACAAGTTTGCCACACTGCATAACACAGCAAGCGGCAGTGGAACACAAAACCCAGAGACAAACAACAAAAAAAGTAGAAAGGCAACAAAAAAGCGGAAAAGCAAAAAGAATCGCTCAAAAGATGATGCGGGAGGTGGGGGGTTAGGAGCAGCAGCAGGAAGAGCTCAGGTTTAAGCTAGCCAGAAGATGCTCTTTAGCCAAAAGAAAAGAAAAGAACTAGCCAGAAGAAATTTCGGAGCAAATCTTTAGGAAATTTGAGAAGATTTTGCAGCTGAAATACAATTGAAATCCACGAAAAGGAAGCAAAGGAAAAATATGCAACCAAGGGGATAAATATATCAATGAACCCAAAAGTCTAATCAGAGGGGATATTCCTATGCTTAAGAAATGTGAGATGATTGCAATCGAATTCAAAGAAAAGCGAGTAAAAATAGATCTACGAGAATACCAGCTAAAAGTTGGCTATAGAAAATCCTTTGCCCATCAGGCAGTTACAAACCCAATAACAACTTCAAAACTATTGAATTGAGAAAAGAATTTATTCTGGAAAATATCTAGAAAGTGCAGCGAAAGAAACAAATGTGGGATATGGGGGAAAAAAGAACAGAGAAAAATATGATGAAATATTTCAAGAAGAAAGCGTTTCGAGTAATCGATGGCGGTGGCACATTGCTAAACTTTATGGATCCCTTCTGTATGAGGTGCAAACCGAATACATTAAATATAATTCGCTCGACTTAATGGCATTAGTGGAGAGAGTATTAAATGCAGGGGATCTCCATTAAGAACCCTTTTTGCGCATCTCCATTCCTCATATTCCTCTTCGAAAACAAAAGCAACTTAAAGACAGCAGGCACACAACAAAACACACAGAAGAATGATAAAAAGAGCGGGGAATGCGAAATTAAAATACAATTTGAAAGCATCAAATAGAGCAATTAAGCGGTCGTCTGCCATACCCCACACACACACACTTGCCACTAGATAATGAAACTCCTTTTTGCCACTCGCTTACCCGCAACATGGCACTGGGCCTGGGTCTGGGCTTGGGCCTGGGCCTGGGACGCACAAAAGTAGGCAACACGCACTGGCATGGATACGCGTGGCATGCTGCTCTCCAAACTTGATTACAAGTGTCGCGGAAAGCCCCAAAAAACAACTCGAAAGCGGCTCCATAACCATCACAAGTACTAATACAAATACACAAAACCCTTTATGGGGCATGCATGTGTGCCTACACACACCCACACACACACGTACTTGTATTTGTTGTGATATTCACGGCACACAACAATGGCACAGCGAGTGGAGTGGAGTACAAAAGAGCCCGCGAGTTAGCAGGCAGCCAAGTGGCAGCAACAGAAGAGCATCAAAATGGCAGGCAACAACTAAAATAGATGTGGCCACAATGCCCTGCAGGGGCAGAGGCCAAGTCCCGAATGCAGCAACCAAACAGCACTAGCAGTGGCAACAACAGCAACATCTTCGCTGAAAGCCCCTTGGGGAAAGAGCATCCATGGGCAAAGTACGCGCATCGTTATCATTATCGAGCAAACTGAATAACAAAGTGGTCCAGAGATTGCCTTACTATAAGTGCTAGATTTCAGCCATCAGCCGATGTGCAGTCTGGATTAGCAGGCCCAACCATATATGGGTAATCCTTTGATCCTTCATCTTCGAACAGCTTCAAAAGAGGCAACGATTCTGCAGCGTGGCAGCCAAATTATCGGCAATGCTTGAACAATTTGAAACATGATACACCAACGATTTGAAGCGCACCAACAGCGGCTATATTACCAGCAATCGTCATCAATGGCAGAAAGAGCAGCAGCAACAACAACTACACCATAAGCAGCACTACACGTTACACCAACGATAACAACAATAAAAAATGTTGCTGCCGCTTCACTAGTTCCCGATGCTGGCTGCTGCTGGCTGCTGCTGCTGCTGCTGTTGTTGTTGTTGGCTTCCTTCGTCGTCGTCTGTGTAATTTGAAACACTTGTGTCAACGTGCCCAGCCACCCCCAACCAAACATCAGCTTACTCCCCCCACACTACCCCACAGTACCCCAGACTCCCCTGCATGTTGCCGCTGACATGTTTCCTTGGGTTGTTGCTGCTGCTGCTGCTGCTGCGGTTGTCAGCGTCTTATTATCATCATCAGTGGCAGCTTTTGGCGGTTTTGTATATTTGCTGGAGCAGGAGGCGAAGCCGTAGAAGCAGCAGTGCTTTTTTCTTTAGCTGCAAGTTCTTGGAGGGAGAGAGGGAGAGAGAGAGTTGTGGAGTCGTGGATGGGTGGGGTTCTGCTGCTGCTGCTGCTGCTCCTGCTGCTTACAATGAAATTCACTTTGCCAAAAAGTTTTCATTTCATTAAAAAGTGGCCCAAGCATACAAACAGACATGTGTACACATATATATGCATATATATACATGTGTGTGTGTGTGTGTGTGTGTGTGTGTGGTTAACTGACATGCAAGTAATTCATCAAAAGCAAAATGCAACCAACAAAACTGACAGCAGATGCGAGTGTATCTGTGTCCACCCACAACTTGTGCCAGAACCCCCCCACCCACAGCCTTTGGCTCTGCACAGCTGCAACACCAGCACACACACACACACACAGCTGCAAAGACAAGACTAAGAACTGGCTAAAGATGTTGCCTGAGCTTCAGAGCAAGAACCACCAAAAAAAAAAAAACACAAAAAAATAAGACAAAAAGAATATAACCAGAAGTTTGACGAACACTAAGATATAGTTGCTCAGTGGTGAACGAGGGGCGGGCAGGGCTTGGGTGTTGGGTGTTGGGGGTGCAGCATGGGGCTAGGATGTGGCATGGCGTGAGAGGGCACTGGCTTAAGGGGCTTAAGGGGTTAACAGTGTGTTCAAAATAATTTGCATAAACATGCGAAATTTAATTATTTCACAGCAACTTGCAAGCCGGAAGAGCAGCAAGGAGACAAGTGAAGCAGACCACAATTATTAAATCCTCTAAAAGTGGATTAAATCAAATAAAACATGGAAAATGTGTCCATATGTGGGCAGGTTCAGGGCAGCAGCGCTATGTTCGAGAATCCCCATGCTCCACGGTAGGCTCCCAACTCTTAGGGTTTACTTCGAATGCTTGGCGTGAAGACTCTTTTGGATAGTAACCGCTGTTGGAGAGCCACTCCAATGAACCCTCCTGTGAGTAACTGCTCCTGGAGACCCTTTCCAATGAACCCTCCTGTGAGTAACTCCTCCTGGAGACCCTTTCCCATGAACCTTTCTGTGAGTAACTCCTCCTGGAGACCCTCTCCCATGAACCATCTATTTAATATTACCCTTCTCCATCTGCTCATCGTCTCATTCCATTTCAGAACCCTCAAATCTCTTTTTTTTTTCTCTCTGCTTACAAAAATGTCTCCTTCTGCACTTGATGGAATGTCAATCAAAACTTAACAAATGAACAAAAAGTCTGCAAAAAGTAACAACAACAAAAAAACAGAAAATAAATAAATAAAGAAAGCTGCAAAACAAAAAGGAATTTGCTCACAAATCAAAAGTTTATTTCCCTTTGTGTTTGTTTGGTATTTGCTGTTTAATTGTGTTTTGGTTTGTGATATTAATTGACCCTTTTGGAAAGTTATTTGGCTGTGTACGAATGGGTTTTGGGGACATTGGATATATCACGGGGTAAACAAATTTAATGGGACACCAAAGGGTACAAATCTTTCCTTTAAAAAATTTAAAAATGGAACCAATCACACAGAAATATACAGGAGTACCCCTGGTGCAGTGGAGTGTCGGGAGTACAGTGGAGTGTCGGGATTACTGGGTGTGGTATGAGAGTATTACGAGCACTGCCAGCACACTTTGATGCCTGGCTATACTCAAGTCTATTTATGTTAATTATCATATTATTAAATTCTCTAAATATCGATACATATTTTGCTCTTTGGCTGCCATTTCCCAGCACACCGCCTCCCTCTTCCGTGTCCGTGTCCGTGTCCGTCTTCATGTCAGTGTCCGCCTGTTTGGAGTGTGTGCGTGTGTGTTTTTTGTTATAAACAATTTAACATTTGCTACTACAACATGTGTACGAGTACGAGTATTTGTCTCTGTCCGCGTGTGGCAGTGTGTGGGGAGTGTGGGCTGCTGTGTGGGGCTGCTGTGTGGGGGATGTGTTCAAGTCCGTTAGACTGGGTATTATAAGAGGCAGAGCGTGAGGAGTAAGCCGGACACGGCCGACAAACCCATTAAGAGCGGCTGTCGACAGTGCCACCAATGTGGATGCCATGCCTCCCGATGGCACAGCCAGCTGATGGGACTGAGGCTGCTCGGTAGCTGTATGCGGAAGCCGCGAAGCCCGGCACCGCCGGAGCTCATTTCGTTGTTGTTGTTGTTGTCGATGGGGCCGCGCACCTCTGTATTGCCGCCGCCGACGCCGTAATAGGGAGGCGGCTTACGTGTGATGCCCAGATCTCCGCCACCCGATGCACCACCGCCACCTGCAGCGCCGCCACCTGCACCGTTATGCTGCTGCTGCTGGTGGTGATGGTGATGGTGGTGCTGTTGATGTTGATGCTGATGCTGATTGCCGCTGCCACCGCCGCCGCCGCCGCCGGCAGTGCTGCCAGGCTTATGTGTGGGCGGTTTATTGCCGCTGGTGTAGTAAACGTGAGGCGATAACGGCGTCAGGCCACCCTCGCCATCGCCATCGAAATCCTCGGCGGAACCATACTGCAGCTCCTCGTCGTCCGGCTGGTATGTGACTTTGACTTGTTGTTTCTGTTTTAAAATGTCATTGGCATCCGCATCCAAGCCTCCGCCTCCGCCTCCGCCGCCGCCGCCGCCAGCGCCGACGTTGCCCTTTCCGTTCAAGGGATTTTTATTACGATTCGGACCGGGGATTTCTGAAGGAGAGAACGAATGAAACGAGAACGAGAAGGAGAAGGAAAAAAAAGCAAACCAGAAAATGTAATTGAAACAAAGGTGCGAATATACATCCCCCCCAGATAGGTATATGTACGGGGGTATGTATGTATGTATGTATATGTCTAGGAGGTTTTATGGCCCATCGACTGGAAATGGGAATGGGGAAGGGGGAAAAGGTAGCTGGTGCACCTACCATACAGGCGAATGCTGCTGTCGACCTCGCCGAGGGAGTTCTTGGCTATGCAGCGATAGGAGCCGACATCATCCTTCTGAAACTTGCGCACAATCATCGACATCTTCGTCTCGTACATGGACTGGGAGCTCTCCTGCACATGGTACTTGCCCGAGGTGACAATCATCTCACCTGTGGATCAACGCAGCAAATTCGGCAAAGAAATGCGCAAATATTTGTATTATTTATATTTATTTATTTATATATTTGAATTGAATTATTCCCAATGCCAATAACACTCAACGGATAAGCGTTGGATAAGCGGATCCGTAAACATGGACTTTGCATTCACTTCAACAGAATTCACAAAATTAATTCTGAAACCGCAGCCACAGCCCGGCAACACCTTTGCTATTGTCACAGTGCCACATCAGTTTGAGTTTCTCTCTCCCTCGAGCTGAATAATTCTACAGAAGAGCAGCGAACAGTTCTGGACAATATTTCTGTGTGCCGAAACTGTTCCGATTTGACTTCAACTGATTGCTGATTGCTGGCTCTAGCCAGATTACGGCTGACTAAAAGTCAAGTGAAGGTGGCGCTACGCGATTGCTCGTCTATGCTGGGACAATTGGAAGGATTTTGTGGGATTATTAGCCTTGGACTGTCGTTTCTGTCCGCTGCTGGTCCGAGCTGGTATCGGTGGGTCTTGGGTCTGCTCAATACTTATACTGTCTCTCCCTCTGCGGGTATTTTCTTCAACATTTCTGGATACTGTCCCCTGGCTTGTGCTCGTTACCTGGCTGCTTTAGACGGCTCTTTCTGGCTGCTAATAGTCCGGGCATTATTTTCTAGTTTACGTTGCTTTATGGTTTATTTTTCGGTGCATTCCGTTTGGGGAAACCGAAACCAGACCCAGGCCCAGTCGCAGTCGCAGGGCAGGCATCCAACCGACTGACCGAACGACCGACCGAACGACCGCCACCTGGAACCTGAACGGACGAACGTGCCACAATCTGACAACTGACTAATGACAATGCCAAACGATTCGATTCGATTCGATGTTGAAGTAATGATGCGTTCGTCCTGGGCCCGACATCTGCATAGATGTATGTATCCAATGGATATGCTCGGACATGCACACACACACACGCATACGAGAGAGAGGACATGCAGACAGCAAAGGGAAGTGGCAGAGGGACAGAGGGGCACACACACACACACACACACATAGACAGACTTACCCGTGTCCTTAATCCAGTAGTTAATTGATTTGGGCGAGGCCTCAACGTGACACTCGATTTGAACATCAGTGCCAAGTGGTGCGCCGACTAATTGATTTGGTACTTGGATGACTGGATGAACTGCAACGACACAAGTCACGTTGCCACGTGTGCCATTAAAACAGAGTTAGGCAAATGGCTAAACAAAAAGTATACAAAATATTTCCACCCCCCCTCTCAGCTTCTTCGCAACATTCACATTTGCCGATCAAATAGCTGAACCCTCGCCAGATGTTCTGCTCGGGCTGACGATCGTCTTCGATAGTCTGGACTCATGCTCAATAAAACGCAGGCCCCCGGGGACCTGCTGCAACTGGCAATGGACAAGTGCACAATAATGGCATGGAAAATGATGAGCAAAGGGAAGCAGCTGAGACGGAACCCGAACATGATCAAGATCTGTACGATGCACTGGGCGCTCTAGCTGTCAGAACGGTTTCAGTCGTGGACATTGCACTGGCGACGCTGCTGCTGCTGGCACAACCTTCGCCCAAGAGTCAATGCCCAAGAAAAACATCTATATAACAATTATGTAACAGGAGTTCGCCACCTGAACCTGAGGATTCTGCCACATTAGTTTAAGATTGATGCCACGTGGCGAGCACAGCCCATTCCATTAGGTGTGCTGCCTGGAATGGCGCTTCTTGTTTTTGTATCATTCGAATGTTTTGAGTTTCTTAAATCAATTTGTCCTTTTGGTAATTTAAAATAAGTTCTGCACACTGTGAATATTTTGTGTGCATTTTTTGGTGGCATATTTGGTTGAATATTTGGGTGCATTTTTGGTTTGTATTTATGTTTCTTTTTTCACGAAGTAGTACGAGTAGTTCTGAGCGGATATCTCCGTGGCAAGCAGCTCTGTTCTTTTCCTTTGGTTGCACAGAGGTCTATGGCCATCTGCAAACTGCCTTGAATTTCCATGGCTGCGAGGTTATTTACTGTGAGGAAATACAATTAGCCAAAGAGTTTCAAAATGAAGGAAATATAGTTGGAGAGAGATTTAAGCGATCAGTTTTGAGCTGTGGTAGCTCTTTTCTGGCTCTGACCATAAAGTTCGTTCCCCCCGTGCTTGGAATATTCTTGCGCAGCTTAAAGTTAAATTTGTGCTCCATCGGAGCCCCAAGGGCAGAGCCAGCGAACTTGAGGGCCAATTGAGTGTAGCATAATTTGATGGTGTGTGGCTGTGTGGCCCTAATGCCACTCCTGCTGCTGCTGCTGCTGTTGCTGCTGCTGTTCAGGGGCTCATCAGAATGCAGTTCAGGCAGCGTCTGACAGTGAATTGACAACTCTTTTGCCAATGGCCCAACTTTCGTATTTATTGTCACTTAGGCTCCCCCACAAACCTCTCTCTGGCAGGTGCAAGAGCCAGAGAGACAGAGACAGTGGCAGAGACCAGAGGCGTGGAGAGGAGGAGGCATTCAGCCGGCTATAACCAAAATTGGTGGTTTTGTAAAACCTGCCAAAAGCTGCCCCCCCCTAACCTAACCCAACCCATTCACATGCTGGGCAGCTTACAGATTGCATATTGTCTCCGTCTATCTGGGAGGCGCCTCTCCCTCTCCCTCGTCCACTAGCTCTCTGTCTCTCTGTCTCTGCAGCTATCGAGAGCTGCTCCCTTTTCTATCCATGTTGAGACATTTGTGGCCATGTGCATTGATAGTTGATTGCAGCTTCAACAATGAAACTTCCACACAGGCAGAGGCGACTCTGCTTGACTCCTGTGCGTCCGTGTGGCAGCCTATACGTGTGCGTGCGTGTGTGTGTGTGGAGAGTTTTGCAAGTTGGAGCAATTTTAATTGATTTCCATGGCCGAGTGCGTACTGTCTTATCCATCAACCATCTATCGCTGCTGGTGGTTGGGTCTGGATGCGTTCAATAACTTCAATTCGGGTCGGGTCGGGTCTGCTCTGGTCTGGTCTCAGCCTCCTACATATGAGGAAATTGCTGAACCCCACCCAAATGATCCAATGATGATTCAGAGTCTTGGGATCTATCTATGGATATTCCTGCTATTTTTTTATTTGGTAGCCGATCCGATGCGATCACTGCTCAATAATAGCGCAAGGAAATTGCACCAAAAAACGGACATTCAGCTGTTGCCCAAGTGCAGTAGGGGCAGGGTACAGAGTGGGAAATGGAAATGGGCAGCAGCTCTGGCAGCTTGACCAGTCATACGTGCTGGTTGACTGCCTCTACTTTAATCCACACACACAGGACACCACATGCATATGGAGTGGAGCTGCTGCTGCTGCTGCTGCTGCTGCCTCTGCCACATTCTGGGTCTATCCTCAGTGAATTTGTGGAACTCCCAGAGAATGGTTTAGGGATAGGAATAGAGGTTTGTGGCATTGGGGGATTTTGTCCTGAGTTCCCTCGGCACTTTCGCTTGGCGATTTGAAATTTTGCAATGATTATTCTGAGCATGTTCCTACCTGCCATTGCATCTGGCTTGGCTCTGGCTTTGGCTCTGGCTCTGGCTCCGGCTCTGGCCTGTCTCTGGGCCGGGGACCCCCTCCCGATGTCGATGCCGGAGCAGCCAGAGTCCGCTCAGAGTTTTGTGGCAAACAAAGCCACAAATATGCACTAATGACGTCGTCAGCTGCCTGCCACTGCCTGACTGCAGCACTACACCCCCCTCCCCACGCCTGGCAGCATCCACATGCCAGTTCCTGCCTCACTCCACCCCCCTCCCACTACATTTTGGGGCAATTGTTGCAGCAGTAGAAGCGATAAAGAGAGAGGGGCGATGAAGAGTGAGCAACGGGCTTGAGTTGAAGGTGACAAAAATTCGGAACTCATTCGGGCGGAGGTGCGTGTGCTGTGGGCCTATACAGTGCGTTGCAGCAGTGTAGGTACGAGTGGAAAAATTTTACAGATTGCTGCACGCCTGTGGGGCATCTGTCTGCTGCCTCAATTTGCATGAAACGCACTGTACCCATTAAGTTATAGCCACAGCTATTTTTTGGGGCATTCCCACAGCTATGCAAGTCGAAAATCCCCCAAAAGGAGCAGCCAAGAAATTAGAAATTAAAATATTTCGCTGGGAACATTTTTGGAGCTGACTTGGAGCTGACTTGGAGCTGACTTGGAGCTTTCCTTCACTCAAGTTCAGATAGGGATATCTGTGGAAATCATAAGGAATATTTTCTGTTTGGTTAGCAGCGAAAGAGCAGTAGTAGTGAAGGGCGCAAAGGTTGTGGCTAGAGTTTGATTGAAAGAGGCAGAAGGGACAGAAGGGCATGGCAGGGATCTACATGGCTGGGCTAGGGGTGAGGGAACAAAAAACAAACCCAAAGCCAAAGCTGGAGAATTTTTGCCACCCAACAAAATGACACCGAAGCGAACTGTCTCGAGTCTCTTGGTGTTTTTTTTTTATTGGAGATGATCTAGGGAACCTTTGCGGCGCTTTATTTTTGATTTTGTTTGCTGCCGCTTCCCTTGAAGGCCAACGCCAACGCTTTGCATGGCTGCATCCTGCATCGCCTGCCTTGGCTTGGTTTTGTTTTTTGTTTTTGTTGTTTTGTTTGTGGCATTCGTGGCACACGTACGTGATTTTTTCTCATTTTGCAGCATTTATTTTGTATGTTCGATTTATGCCGCATGGCATGGCGGCGGGTTGGTGTGTGGGTGAACGTGCCTCGTGACCAATCCAACGACAGGCTCAAGGCAGGGCGAGAGTCAGAGCGGGAGCAAGCCTGCATTTCCGGCCGGGCTAAGATGCTTGCAGGCTCGCTGGCTGTCGGTGTGTGCGGCACGCCGTCCCATCTTCCTGCTGCACTTCCTCCCATAGGTGCAACTAATTAAGCATCTCAGAAAAGTGGAGCAGGAAGAGCCTGCAACAGGGCAACAGGCGAACAGCTAGGGGAAGCGCCTAATAAGGCGGCAGCGGAAAGCGCATTTGCGGCGGAAGTGGGACGAGGCAAATGTGGCAGGCGGCAGGCGGCATGCGGCATGTGGCGCGTGGCAAGCTGCTTGCTTTATCAGTCAGCGACACTGCAGCAGCCGCCCCGCCCCCACCCATGAGGAGCTGTGGCAATCTGCTCTTGCAACTGACTCCGCAAAAGTTTCCGAGAAGAAAAACGTCGGCAAGGGGGCAAAGGGGCAGCATTGGCGGGGGCGGGGGCGGTGCGGTGCGGTGCGGTGCTGTGGCAACTCTTTCGCAAACAAATTGCAAAGGAAGTTGTTGCAAAATGGCAACAGGAAAAGTAAACACGCAGCACGAAATACGCAGAGCGAAAGGACGGACGAGAGGAGGCAGGGAGGGACGGACGGAGTGAAGGAGTGACGGAGGAAACACTCGAATGGAATGGACAGAAGGTGAAGGAAGCGATGCGCAACTCGAGTTGATCAAAAAGTTTCGCTAGGTGGGTAGAGCACTCCGCCCATCGGCCACTCCACCGGAGGAGTATCTGCTCTTCACAGATAACTGTTAGCCAGTAGTGACTGTGTTTACTGTCGCCAAGAGTGGGCGGGTGGCATTCTGGCACGATATCCTGCCCCCAAGGGTAGTCCCGCTATGGGCAGAAGCCTGCCAAGCGCACAGCATACAGGGGAAATACCCTAAGCCAAAAGCCATTAATAAGTGGATGCAACCAAGTTCCCTTGTTCGTGCCTTAATGGTGCAGAAATACTCATGATATGCCATGGAAATTATTCAAGGAAAATCAAGATGTTCATGGCTAAAAATCGCTCTGCAAATCAATTAGAAGTCTTCCAATAGCAGTGGGCCCCATCCCTCAGTCAGAGGGTTAAAGTTTGCCCACCCACAAGGCAGCGAGGCGGCGCACCAAGTGCCACTTAAAGACCACATTAACACAATGTCAAAATGTTAAAAGGCGTGATTTTGCCACCTTTCTAGAGGCAGTGAGTGGGGGGCAGGCTTTTGCTGCAGTGGTAAACGAGCTAAAAAAAAAGCAAAAAAAAAAAAAAAAAACAAGCAAAATAAACAAGGGAGTTACAGAGGGTGGGAGTAGAGCAAACAAACGCAGTGGATGCCATGGACTACTCCGGTGACGTTGGGACTACTACACCGCCCACCTCCACCCCACCCCACCCCACCCCTTTTGCAGCTGCCTCGGTGATTGAGTGAACTGCCACATGGCAGAGGAGTCAGGCAGTGAGGCAGCCAGCAGCACGTGCTGCAGACAGTTTGACAAAAAAGCTGTGGCCCACCAAAAAGCACCTGCCAGTGCCACAGCTCCACACACACACACACACACACACACAATACACAGAAACAACAAAAATACAGAAGGAGGAGGGTGGGAGAGAAAGGGGAGGTCGTAGCAGGTAATGCCCGGTATCAGTGACAGGATTTAAACGGATTACAACAAGGACAATCGAGTTAGCACGGCACATAGAGCCATACAGCCATAGAGCCATAGCGCTGCCCCGGGTTTGCCTTCTGCCTTCTGCCTTTTTTGCCTTTTGCTTTTGCCTCTCTCTTGGTCCTTGTGTCTTCCTTCGCTGCGGGGCATCTTCGCAGACGGAATGGACTCATTGTGCACTGCCAGAAACCAGCAGGCCAAAATGGTTGCAATAAATGGCATTGAAGGTGTTTGCATTCGCCATCTTTGGCTACGAGAGCCTTTTGGAAACTTCTTTTCGATTAGTTTAAGGTTTTGTTCGATTTTTCTTTGAAGAATCTTGCAGAGACGGTGCCTACTTTTTGTGGCTTAAATTAATTATTTTATGGCGTCCTGCCAGCTCTGATAAGTCCTCAATGCAACTGAGTAAACCTTTAAAATTAATTAAAGCTCTAAGCTCGACAGACACTCAGTTCGTGTATGCTTTCGAAAATTGTTGCCAGTGCATCAGCTAAACGCAAGATAAACGCCCCGGTGCCGCTCCCGGAGCAGGGCAGGGCAGAGCTGACTGATGATGCAACCTCAACGTGCTGCGAGCAGCTGAAAAGAGTTGACCAACCGCAAGCCTCTCTAATTAATGGCGCACTGCATCGAGATGGACACGAACAGTGGTGGTGGCGTGGTGGCGAGGTGGAGAGAGGGGGAAATGGCAGAGAGAGCGTTGTGTACTTACAGTGTATGCTAAGCGAGATGCGCTTTGAAACCGATGGGGGCACCCCATTGGAGGCGATGCACAGATACGAGCCCATCTCGTTCCGTGAGATCTTTGACAGCTTCAGCACTTCGCCGCGAAACGAGGGCGCTGCAAGAAAAAAAAAAACAAACAAAAAGGGGAATTGAATAGTTGGCCCACACACACGCACACACACACACACCCACACAGGGATATGTTTGGCAGTGTCACTTACATAGTGTCTTGGCGCCCACATTGTCCTTGAGAACAATCTCGTTGCCGTCCTCACGGCGCCAGGTGACAATCGGTTCCGGATAGCCACGGGCTCTGCAAACACCCAAAAATGAACACCACAAATTAGTTAGAGTATGGTAGACAGGGGTTGGGGGGTGGAATATGAGCAATACGAAAAGCAATTGTCTTCTCGAGGCCCATAAAGCATAAACCGGCCACGCCCACTCAATGGTAATGGCGGCAAATGGAAAAATGGGGAAATGGGGAAATGGCAAATGGGAAACGGGAAATGCTAAATGGTAAATGGAAAATATTCAAGTTCAGTGGCTTATTAAATTTAATATGACGAAGCCACGGCATAGTACGTGGTACGTGGCCGACAGTCGCAGCCAGGGCCACAAAGACCATTGTGTTGGCAAACAAGAAAGTGAGCCTGGCTGCGTGGATCGAAGCTTCGAATACCCTGCGCTGATCTTTTATTCCACCGACAGGTATATGTTTTTTAATTAAAATTAACTGCAAGTGCAACGTTGCGCATGGATGATTTTTCCATCGATTATTCTCAAGTGTTTTATTTGATTTTACCACTTGGCACACTGCTTGCAGCGAAAAGCAGTGCGCGAAGTCTGTGTTAAGTTGCAGCCAAAGTGCTGCTAGTGCTGCTCAAGACTATATATAAATTCTTTCGATATCTGCATTGCAAAAACAGCATACCTCTCTGCAAAGGGTATGAAAACTTTTATGAAAACCTTGTCCGCCCTGCCTTGTCTCTAGCTCAAAGAGCAAAGACAGAGGAAAGCAAGCAGTGCAGCAGGGAAAGCAGAGCAGCGACCGCTTGAAGCCAGCAGGCGCCGACTACGACGACGTCTTTCCTGTCCTGCTCAAGTATGTGGTGCAATGGATAGATGGAGATAGAGAGAGAGAGTGTGAGAGTGGTAGAAGTGGCAGTGAGAGGGCGAGTGGTTTTGTCGAGTTTTTGCGGCCAGAGAGGGGAAGAGCGAGAGAAATGCGTGTTAAGACAGCAGTTGTTCAACAGCGAACCAGACACGGGTGTGGTAAATTTTTATGATGCCGCAAACAGATGCAAAATAGCTAAAAAGAAAATCAACCAACATACACACACACACACATACAAACACTGAGTGAGGGTAACTTCCACCCACATGGCCAACACAATGGCGACTGGCTGGCTACCAGTTAGCAGTCACTAGCAGTTGCTTAGCCATGTTTAGTCATGCCGAGACAGGACCCTTGCAGCCTGATTGAATGTGTGTGTGCTGGTACGTGGTGACGGAGGTGGTGGGGGGGGGGAGAAACAACAGCTTTGCTTGAAATCTCTGAGTAAAAACTAAGTGCAATTTACATAGTCGAAAGACAGAACTTGGGGGCAGAGGCAGCTTGAACTTTACTGTGGGTTTCGTTTCTGAACGGAGGCAGAAACCGTTTTAAGTTAATTTACAGCTATTCAAAGCAGTGCACAAATGATTTTTGAATGAATCACTTGGATCACAAATTCATTTGTGCGCAACCTTTGGCACTCTGCCTCTGTGGCCGTTACTCTCGTATCGCTCGCCGAGCACCTTTGGACCTTCAGGCTTCGCCTGATTGTCTGGCTAAGTTCATGCAATGCTTTTAATGTGCGTAAAGCTGAAGTTGAATTCATTTCAAGGGATTTGCACTAAGTGGTATTAAAAGTGAACGGAAAACAAAAGAGCAAATGAAACCAAAATACAAAAAAAAAACCGCCTGCAGACAAGCTCTCTAATAGCTTTTCACACTCACACACACACAGAGAGAAAGAGAGAGAGAGAGAGAGTGGCACACTCGGAACGCGCTTATCGCCATCGTTTCATCATTTTGCGGTTAAATCGTTAAAAAAAAAAAAGGAGAGCAACACTTCGTGGTTGCGGTCAAGTTCATAAATCAGCAGACAGCCAAGCCTTGGCTTTGGCTCCTTGGCCCCACACTCACACTCCCAATCACACCAAGCCAAGGCCCACCGCCCCCACATGGCAGTTAGAAAATAACCAACACAAATTAGAGACTGTTAGCCAGCTGCCTAATACCCTTGAAAGTGGTTAAGCCAGACGCAGCGGGTTAACGCTAGTCGTTATCTTTTTGCTGCTCTCTGAAGCAGCTAATCTACCCGCTGAGCCAACCCTAGGGTAGGTGGCCAGCAGCCAGCAGCCCGCAGCCCGCAGCCAGGGAGTGTATTAGTGCGGAATCAAGAGAAATGAAGTGTCACTTAATTTGCTGACATTATTACACGGCGATGATTGAGACGAGAGAACGGCTGCGGGATATGGGAGCTGGAGCTTGAGACTTGGATGAAAAGTTGAGGCTAAAAACTTCAGCATGGTATCGAAATGCAACCGTCTGGGGCAACGTCTTGATGAATTGCATGGGAAGTGCGGCAGGGGGTGGGGGTCGTGATGGCTGGCTAAAACCATACGGTACATACTACTCACCGACATGTCAGGCGCACCGAACTGCCCTCCGGCACAATCACATCCGATGAAGTGTCCTCGCTGATAAAGTCCGGCGGTATGACGACATCCAGGAAGCCTATCTGCAAGTGCCAAATGAAACAGAAACAGAAACAGAAACACAAACATTAACAGCATCAGGAAGTTAATGGGGAATGGGAATGGGGAATGTGGAATGGGAATGGAGTGGCGAGCATGGAATACTTTATTTCGCTTACTTAAATTATCACAAATTGCTAGGAGACAAACGCACTGTGCACTCCACTCACACACACAAACACGCTCAGAGAGAAGGGGAGAGAGCGAGAGAGATTCGGCGAAAATTTGCTGATTATGCAAGTTGGCCATAAAGCAGAAGTAATGGTAAAGTGTTTTATACGGCGACTGGGAAATGGCCCACGAGCATAAGCATAAGCAAGCGAGCAAAATAAAGTAAAGTCGAATAAAGGCCGAGGGCAAAAGGTAAAGCGAATGGAATGGCGTTAAATAGTTTAAGACAGGAGCGAAACGTTCTTTGGTTGCTACAGGGAACTAGTGGAGCACACAAACACACACACACACACACACACACATACAATTCATGGTATGTATGTATGTACAATACACAGTGCACTTTGACCCATCGAATCTCTGTCGTGTTGCCACTGTACTTGTCCATTGTGTTGCTGCTGTTGCTGTTGTTGTTGTTCTTATGAAAAGCGTAAAAGTGCAAATAAAAATTAAGGAAGCATGAAATACATTTTATTGGCACCATAAACTTCACTTGGCTGGACACATGAGTGTACGTGTGAGCGGACACACACAGAGCGATGTACACACAACCCCGCCAGCCCCCCACCCACCAACACCAACACCGTTGTAGCGAACACAGCAAGCAGTAGACGAAGCTGCCCATGTGTGTGCTCATATGTATGTGTCTGTGGGGTGTCTGTCGGGTGTGTGGTGGGGTCGCCATTCGCATAGTTTTCGCTTTCGATTTGCTGCGCTTTCTTTGCTTCCTTCTTGCGCCTGTCTTGCGCCACCAAAAGAAGATGGACCTGGGGAAGGCGGGGCAGCAGGGGGCGAGGGGCGAAAGCAGGACAACAGTTGAATGCATTCGCATTTTACTTTACCGTTTAATGCCGCATGAAAGGAATTGCGAAACAAAACCAAACCAAACCAAACAAGAGAAAGGCTACAAAAACAAAAGATTCCTGACATAAGCAGCCCCCCCCCTCCGACACCACACACAGCAATGGCCATAAAAATAGCGCAAGCGAAACACACACACACACACAAATACTACATATAACAATTTGCTGCAAGCATTTATGGAGCGGCACAAAATATTGAATAATACATAAAAGTACTTAAAAAAAATATTAAATCAAAAATCATTCTGGCAAACAAAATCTACAAATAAAATATGGAAAATATTTCCAAGAAAGAAAATCCTTTTATGGTGGAATCTTTTTTAAGAACTTTTACCATAAATCTGCTAGCCATAAATTACAGAGAAATAAATATACAGCATATGGTATATGGTATATGGTATATGGCATGTGATCTTTGATCCCACCTGACTCTTCATGGGATCCGTGTTCAATTGGCACATGTAGCCGCCGCGATCCTCCTCGGCCACCGCCTTGATGTGCAGATTCCAGGTGTTCTGATCCAAATGGCTGACCGTCACACGGGGATTGTGTGTGATGACGTTCTCGTGTATGGCCTGGATGGCCTTGGTGTCGGCTTTCAGCCAGCCCACCTGTGGAAGGGAACGAGACACACGAGACAAGAGGTTGGGTTGCAGGTTGCAGGTCGTTCAAGTTTTGTAAAGTTTTCAAGTGCAAGTGAGGTTGACTTACCCGATAGCCGCCCAGGTGCCGGACGTGACACGTGAAGGTGGCGTCGCGGCCCACGGCAACGGACACATTGGAAATGCTCTCCACAAACTCTGGCCCAAAGGCGCCAATTGCTGCAAGGAGTGGGGGCGGTGTGCATCAACAAGGAGAGGGAGAGAACGACAGAGAGAGAGAGAAAGTGAGATTAGAGTGCATGGATGTGCTCTGTGTGTCTGTGTGTCTGTGTGTGTGTGTGTCTTTGTGGCAGTTAATGATATCGCGCTGGCAGTGCACGCCACTGGTGCATGGGCATGGTGCTTCCCCTTGTTGCGCCTGCCAAAAAGACCGTGATTTATCGCTTTTAAATGTGCCCAAAAGCTCGCTCTTTCGCCACCCCCTCTCTCTCTCTCTCTTTGCATTCGTTACCCTGTCTCTCATGCCAGTGCCAACAACTTAACTGTGCCAGACAACAGCCAGCGTCGCAGTCGCAGTTAACGTTGCAGCCAGCAGCCAGCATCCAACAGCCAGCAGTCAGCAGCCAGCAGCCAACAGCCAGCGTCGACAGCAGACAGTTTAAAGAGCTGCGGCGGCTAATTGAAGATCGACATCCGGCACCCTGGCGCGAGTCGGCACCGCATACCAGAGCACTGGCAACGGCAATCCCAGCGCCCAAGTCCGTGGCTGGGTCTGGGTGCTGTGTTGGCTGCTGGGTCCTGGCTCCTGGCTCTTGGGTCCTGGGCATACGCAAATATAAATAATTTATTGAATCATTGAAAATCAAACATTTCACTTGCAAGTGCTGCAAAAAAGTTTCCCCAGGCCGTAACACAAAAAAAAAAAACGCATCAACAAATAAAAAGAAAAAAACACGAAAGAACTGCTGAAATTTTGAATACCCTTGCAGATATTTCAGCTATAAAAAAAAACACACCCGAAAAACTATGCTACATTTTGTTGGAGAACTTCTCAAGAGAGATTTATTTATGTATCTAAAGATCTCTTATAGTTTTTTCGCACAAGGAACTATCTGACAAATGTTTGTTATCTGTAAAAGTTGTTTGGCATGTGCTCACATTTGGTTGAGCTACGAATTAATTGATTATATGAGTGTAGAGCTGGTTAAATAATTTCTATATAGTGCTACGATTTTGACAGTTGCATCCCTGCACAGCAAAATACATTAAGACGTGGCTACATTGTGATTAATGCTGATCAAAAATATATACATACGTGTGACTGACATTCTATAGGGTTCTTATTTTTGTTGCCTTTATCTGATCGAAAATCGTAATAGCCCAAACAAGGGTATAGAAAAAATAATGGCACAGAAGCAGGGCTAAGCGTGGTGAGTGGGAAGAGGTGGTGGGGGAGGGGGGCAGCAGGCCAGACAGCAGCAGCCACGCACGACTGCTGTCCTGGCCGCAGACTCTCCACTGCGCTACACCCGCCTCACCCGCCCACTCTACCTCTCGCCACGCTGCCACGCTGCCAGGCTGCCAGGCTGCCTGCGTCGTCTACATCATCGTAATGCATGCAAAAAACTTTTGGCAAACTTGAAATTTAAATATTTATAGACAGTACCGTTGCTTCACTGATGCGGCGGACAGACAGTAGTGCGAGCGAGATGGCTGTCGAGTACGAGAGGGGGACACGAAGTGTATTGTGTGTAGAAATATGTTTGGGGAAAATATGTGGAAGAATGAAGAATGCTGAATTGACTCAATTGGCCAAGGGCATGATTTATCGCACTTTCGAGTGGCGAGTGGAGAGTGGAAAGTGCAGAGTGGAGAGTGCAAAGAGGTTTGCCTGGGGAGGGGTGGCTTGGAAACGGGGGGATACCAGTTGGAATCACACTCAAAATTACATTTGATAATCTGGATAATCCACTTGGCATACCAGTCCAAATCCCAAAGCTAAAGATACAAAAAAATATTTAAGCAAATTTATTTGCGGTTCAAGTGGAAGGATGCTACTCGTATGGGTGGTTGGGGAGGGGGGGATTGTGCAACCCAAAACGGACCAGCACATGTGGGTTTACATATGCAGATTCATTTGTAGCTGCCAAGAGAAGTTTTTCATTAACATGCTGCAGTGGGAGAGGAGAAACCAGAAAACAGAGGAAAGCAGTAGCAGCAGACGAGTGTAGAGGAGGGTAGAGCAGTGATAAAGCAGCAGCAAACAGGGGAGAGGATTGAGCAGAAGACAGTGAAGGAAAAGATTCAGCTGGAGAGAAACTTGAACAGAAGAACGCTGAGAGGCGAAGCAGAAATTTAAGAGATTGAAATTGAAATCACAACAGCAGAAACAGCGCAGGTAGAGGCCCCAGCTGAGTAAAAGAAAGCAGTGGGAGATCACAGAAAAGTGCAACGACGGCAAGCAGCGGAATCAGTGTACTGCAGTGCCCAAGCAGCAGCCGATGAGTTGAACGTCTGTGCAGGCAAAGCAACCAGAGCAGTTTCCCCAAGCAGTTGCACAGATATGAAATCTACAACAACAGCAGTGCAGTGCAGTGCAAAGTTCAAGCAGATGTACATTTGAGGGCAGCAAGCAGGAAGACACACAGCGAGGGAGAGGGAAAATCCAAAGTGTTTTGGTCCCACAGCCACAACACACCACCGCCAGCCCCGCCAACGCCAACGCCACACGGAGCTTCTGCAACTGCAGTGTGCCTTGGGCAAGGGTTGGATGTGGGGGAGGGGAGGGCTTGGGAACCAAATGTAGTTGCTGCTTGGCTGACTGCGGCTTGTTTGTCAATCTGTTGAAACTGCATGCCAAAGATGTTTTCCAGCATTGTGCCAATCCCAATGAAGTTGTCTACTGGCCAGAAGACCTCTTTCCTCGCCCTTGCCCGCTCGGTACTTGTTTGTGAACTCTGGCCTGTCCTCTGTCCAGTGTCCTGTTCTGCCCTGCCCTGTCCTGCCCTGCCCTGCACTGCTGTGCCATGCTCTGGTTCTTCTTCGGCAGGCATTTTGAAGCTAAGCCAAAGTCAATTAACCCCTCGACTTGGGTCCACTCCAATCCACCATGGTACCAGTTCCGTTCCCGCCCCCACCACCTACCTACCTACCACTCCATTCCATATCATAAATTTCCGCTTTCCATCCTCCACTGCTTCGTCTTTTTCTGTTTCCTCATCTTCATTTCAATTTTCGTTTCTTTTGCACTCAGTTACCGCTACACACACACACACACACACACACATCTGAACACACGATGGGTGGAGGGGGGAGTGCGGATCCACCATTTTGAGAATCTTGTCAATTTTGGCTCGTAACCCCGAGGCGGCGCTCTCCGGCCGCCCCCACTCCCTCTTTCGGGAAAAAGTTTAAATCACACAACGACAATGAGGATTTACCAAAGCAAATTTATGGCTAAGGACATTGGCAAAAGTTAAGCATACGAATGTATTAGTGGGTGTGCGGCGATGTGCTGGGCGGGTGTGTGGTGTGAGGTTGATTGGGTGGCTATAAGGAGAGCCACCCGGAATATATATGGGCGCTCCAAGGTGTCCAACAAGCTCACACACACACACACACACGATACTAAGATGCGAATCTGCATGGGAATGGCACACAGGACACAGAACACGGCACATAAGACACTGGTACCCGGTACCTTTACCTTTGCCGTTGCCGTTGCCGTTGCCGTTTTTTATGGCCTCACACATGGACAGCCACACAAATCCACTGCCAAAGCGCCCAATGATAGGTGATAATGGCAAATATCGAGAGGCACCAGGAGGACAGATGAAAAGACACCCAAAGACAAGACAAACTTAAATAACACAAAACCGAAAATGAAACCAAAGTTCCCCTGTCTCCAGGACTCTTTTCCCCCTGGCTTAAAGTTAGCTTCGCTTCTCTTTTTTTATTTTTTGGTAAAACAAATAAATGACTTGAGATGGGTGAGAAAGTGGCAAGACAGCGGCCAAGGGGGGGGGAGGGGACGAGTGTGCCACAGACGATGCCTGCAAATGGCTGTTGGACTTTTGTTTTGGCTGGGTCTGGCATTGAAATTAGCATTTTTACAAATCGTCGTCTACAGCCGTTGAACTACTGCCAATTGAATTCAGAATCCACCGCCAGCCCACCAACCACACCCCGCTCAGCCCCACTGACCAAGACAACAGCACCACCAAAAAAAAAAAAATTCAATTTACATTTCTTTAGCTTTCTCCTTTTTTTTTTGTTTGTTTGTTTGTTGGGTCTTAACAAATGTCGCGCAATTAATTGTGTCTTGATTTTTGTTTCACACTTTTGTTTCTCGCATTCTGAAAGGGGTAGCCCCCGTCTGGAAGCCCCTAATTGCCAAAGTTTCTAGGTTTTGGACGGGCACTTCAGGCAGCTAAGCTGATCAATATTTGTTGCTGCCAGGTGGAGTAGGTCGTACAACAGGCTTAACTCTAAAGGATTCTGTTGGGAGTCGATCGATTGAATGCGAAAATCACAAATTAGTACGGTTCGTGCGTTACTACTGCTAAATGATTCAATTATGCACCACTGCCAATTACCAAACATCTTGGTCTGGCCAAGCCAAGTGCAACAGTATCAAAGTATTTTGCTGGCTCAGGCCACACATCAAAAGGGCCTGAGTACAGTTTACAGCAATATGTATGTCTGTGTCGCAGACACCCCTGTGTATTTCCATTTATTTAATTTTCCATGTCAATTCGATTGATATTAATACAAAATAAATTTACCATGTACTTGAAATTGAATTCAAACTAAATTAAACACATAAAGGACACTTTAATGCATTGTTTGTAAGTTTTAAGGGCTTCAGTGCACAAATATATATTTCATTTGAAAGTATTTAAGGTTTTGATACTTGATACCCTTTCCATTGCCTGTTGTTTTAGGCGTCTTAGGGTTTAACAAATTTACACTTGCATTGCTATCATGAAAGAAGTAATTTGAACCAATATTTTGGTTAAAGCTCGCAGCCTTAGAACGTTTAAATAATAAAGAGTTTGCATTTATGGTACAGAATGGCCTGGCAATAGCCAGGAATATTCAAGCCACTTATTCAACTGGTAGATTTTCAGATTTTCACTTGGCACAAGTGCTCCACAATTCTCAAAAGTTTATGCAAGTTTCTATTTAATTATAATCAAATAATCGTTGCAGCTTATCCA